GGGGGGGGGGGAGCACAGCTCTTGCTGTGTAACGTGCTTCACTCAGATAGTTCCAGTAAAATGTCCAGCACTATAAACGTAAGTCATATTGATGAACCAACCAACCATAACCTAGAAAAGCAAGGAATTGCAATTTGTGACTTGCTCAGGGAATGCAAGATAACAAGAGAGAAGAGGAGAAAATTCTTGAAACATTCTGGAAGGCTGGAGTGGAATTTTACATTTGTCATGGTAAGCACGTTTCTCTATTTGTATTTCACATATCTGTTTATTTATTAGATTATTTACCTATTTTCATCTTAGAACTGGAGAAAAGAAGCTCATTTCTGGTATAAATTAAGATTCCTCAGCTCCAAAGCCCAGATGTGCACCATGTCAAATTATCTTTGAAGCATGATGAGCTGTATATTAATAACTTGGCTCCACTGCCCTGAAGGCTCAGTGCACAAAGCACTAGGGTCCAAAGCAGTGATCTTAATATAGGAACATGAGATATCTTAGAACTGTGCACTGAAAAAACACAAACTTAAAAGATCTGAAGCTAAAAAAGTTAATTAGCTGAAATGGACATTTGCTGAGTGCGACAAGCTTCAAATTAAAAGTCTCCAGAAGAAAAAAAACATTCTGACTCATATAATGAGCACTGTTAACCTTTATGACCTCCAATTTAACCACAAATTTACCAAAAACACAAATTGCATTAAACTTTAAAAGACTATGATTTCCATTATAACAAAGCAGTGGCTCCCAACCCTAGTCACACCTCAGCCAAGTTCTATTTAATTTCAGTTTTTATTTAAGACATGCCTATAAATTTGCTTTCATCTTTTAAAAAGTCAAATGGCATTGTAATTGGCATCAACCCTTTACCAGCTGCTGGGTTTCAGACCTGTTGTCATTCATGTGTGTTGCCTGAAATAGAACCTTTTGGGCTTCTGCAGAAGGCAAAACCTGCGGGCGTGTCCAACAGTGTAACCCCCGCTGTGGGTGTGCCCAGGACAGAGTCCCTCCTACCTGAACTGCCCGTTCATCATAAATTGTACAACTAATAAGAACTCTTTAGTCAGAAGTAACAGCCAGCAGATTTCTGTTGTGTTCAGTTCCATGTGCTTAAGGATCCTTGAAAGTGGGTATTTCTGACACGCAGGAAGGGCAAAAAACCAAGCTCTCAACTTGTAGTCTCAACAAAGCAAGCAATTTTGTCATCAATCAGCACTGAAGATACAAATCCCCACTGGAAGGAAAACCAGCAGAGCCAGTGTTCCTCCCGGACCAAGGCTGGGGAACCACAGCTCTAGATACACTCACAGGACAAAGTATTTAAACACCTCTCCATTCCAGAAGCATGAAAATGATCTGCTTCACCTTACTGGACCAGAACAAGGAATCCCCCGACAATCCTCTGCACAGGCACCACATCATAGCGGCTGCGTCTCTGGACTCGGAACTGGAGGGTTGTGTGTTCAAGTCCCTCCTACTGAGGCTGCTGGATCAAGGTACTTTACCCCAGTTGCTCCAGTCCACACTGGGAACAGGCACCGAGATAGACTGCTGTGCAGAAGGGCAGGGCACTTGGTTCACTTAACACCAGGAGGAGCTCAGATGCAGGGATCTGTTACCTGGCCAGTGAGCATCCGATCGGTTCAAGCCCAGAAAGTCTACATGCTGGGGACCCCTGCTTGGAGTGCCTACCTGAATTTGGCCTTCTCATGCACCCACACGTACTGTGGGTCTCTGAGGCTGAGCCGGGCCAGGTCTTTCACAGACTTGGTCTGCGTGGCAGAGAAGAGCAGGGTCTGCCGGGTCTGAGGGAGGTTCTCCACGATGGCATTCAACGTGTCAGCAAATCCCATGTCCAGGATCCGATCGGCTTCATCCAAAACTGCAGGGAGGGAAGATAAGACGGCTCACAAAGGGATTTTCCCCCATCAACAGCGTCCCGATGCCTAAATCCGAAGGCGACTCGCCCCGGAGAAGCGGAGCCGGATGAAAAGGTGCCCGCATGTGACTGAGGACGGTCAAGGAGATGTGGGAGGAAGAAGAGGGGGGCTAGGAGGCGAGGCAGCAGACAGGGCTGAAAGACCCAGCTGAGAGGCTGATTACTGTCCCCCAGCAGAAGGGGAGAAACAGGAACACAAAGCCGGCTGCCAGTTGCGAAACAAGCAACTGCCAGGCAGAGAGAAGCGGGGTACCCAGGATCTGCAGGCTGGAAGCGTGGAAGGCCGTGGTTTCGTCCATGTGCTGCAGCAGGCGCCCTGGGGTGCAGACGATAATGTTGGTGCGATGGATCCTCTCGGACTCGTGCTTCAGGTCCTGGAGAACATCGAATCGACAGCAGGAGCACAATCAAGAACAGCGCCACCCAGGCCTCACATCTGCACACAACCCGTTTCTATTTGCAACCCCAGTAATTCATCTCTTCCACTGTGAAGCTGTGCTGGTCTAATATCAATGTAGGGCAACCAACTAGTAACAGTACAGCACAGCTTCTAAAGCCCTCTGGAGAGAGCTTGATCCTTTCCCTTCTCATTTGGGGAAAGGGGCATCTCTGATACGTCTTAAAAGTCTTTGGATTGCTTTACTCTAATCACCTGCCTCCAGTTACATGTAAAACATAGACGTAGAGCATTTAAATACTGTTCTAAGCACAAAAAACAAAACAAATACACAAAATCCCAAAACTGCCCACCCCCCGGGATTTAAGCATAAATAAACCAGAACTCGTTCTGCATATCAACAACGTATTGACAAAACTTCCACTGCAGAGCGAACTGACTGATTTCATCTTGTCAAGGGCTCTAGGAGACGCAGGCAGGCCAAGCGCGAGGCAGCCTGTGCATAATCCACAGCAGAGCGAACCTGGCGTGCGCCCCGGAACATTCCCAGCTTTACATGAACTCACATGCATTAAAAGCCTATTCCATCGCAGAGAGGGGATGCAAGGACACAGTCCAGTTGCTAAATAAGCAGAGATGGGGGGGTCTCGATTCATTCCAGCACCGGAGTGGTGCAGTACACAGCACAGTGAACATGCAATTTTAACAAGGCAGTGGAACGAACCTTTCCTCCAATAATGAGCCCCGCTGAAAACTCATGGTTCTTCCCCACTTTGCGCAGGACCTCAAAGGTCTGGTAGGCCAGCTCTCTGGTGGGGGAGATGATGAGGGCGCCCAGCCCGTCCTCCGCTGTCCACTGCTGGCGGAACAAGCACTCCAGCACCTGCGGGACAGGAAAACATTCATCCCGCGCCAGCAAACCACAGCACGGGTTGGGAACTGAAGCAATGAAATGGTTCTTCCTCAAGGAGACATTTGAGGAATCTGGACATTTTTACTTGACAAAGCCGGGAAAGTCGTCTATATTGAACTAAGTAACAAGTAATAGGTTTATTCCATGCTGAAAAGAGAAGAGAGAAAATACAAGTTTTGGCTGTGAAGCCTTCTTCAGGTGAGAGCTGTCTTCTCTTTTCAGCATGGAATAAACGTATTACTTGTTCCTTTGCAGGCTACGCATTCTGAGCAGCTACCCACCTGATCTATATTGAACTAATCCAATTGAAATATCAGCGCAACACCTGCAGGGCCTGGATATGAGCTGATGTCTGGAAATCAATCCAGCCTCATAAGAGTCACAGAAAATCCTGGGCTAAAAAAAGTGTTCAGCACCTTAACACAGGTCTACAAGTACTGATAAGAAGTTAAGGAGCTGGCAGTGTGTTCACAGCACAGGGTTATCTGATCAGATGGACTTGTGCAGGTTTATATCTGACCACAATCTAATTTACCAACATAATCTACTCTTTGGTGCATTTATGATCCAGCATGGATGCTAGATATAATAGATATAATAAGTAAATGGGCTCTAAAACTCATTCTAAATAAAAAACAGTAGTCTTTACATATACTGTAGTTAACATACAAATATAATATTTAATAAATTCTTGTTTCTTAAGCTATTTATTTATCCACCACTAAACAGTTCATAGAGAATGACTGATGCAATGGGACCTGGCACAGTGCTCCCTGACTCCTGAGGGACTTTCACAATTTAAGCTGGTGTCAGGACTAATTCTGAACCTCAATTAGTTACTAAACACCCTCTGAATCATAATGTTCATTTCGGTGCATCTCCGACCGTGATGCCTGTATCATCAGCAATGAGCCACTCACGGGGATGAGGAAGGCCAGAGTTTTGCCAGAGCCCGTCTTTGCTGCGCCCAGCACGTCTCTTCCTTGCAGCGCCAAGCCAATGGTTTGTCTCTGAATTTCCGTGGGCAGCCGATACTGAGCTTCTAACAGACCTGGAACACAAAGACAGAGCTGAACACCCGTGGGGCACGACTGCGCACTCAATAAATTACAGCCGCCCCTCAATTTAATTTGTTCCATGAAAACTGTTTGCAAGGTGTAGATCAAAAATGAATTCCCTCAAGATTATACCTAAATTCCTCCGACTGCTTCCATAATCCCAGAAAAATCACACAATAAATATCAAATTTAAATATAAATATGATTTAAATAAATATTTGCTTCATTATTATAAAGTCAGAAATAAATGTATCTACTCTTTTTTAACTCTTGGAGTATGCTGCCTTCTTGTGGCCATTGCTCAAGAGATCCAATAAAAATGATTAAGATCAGCGGATTTGGGAATAGAAATGACTGGCTGGACAAGCACACTGATTAAGGCTAGAAATGAAACGAGCATCAGTCCTTCACATTTAATAACCATATTAAAATGAACTAGAACACTTAAAATTTATTTTTTATTTATGAGCATCCACAGAAAAAATAAAGACATCATTACAACCAACAGCGTTAGACGAGTACTTCAAACACAGAAAGGCTGAAAGGGCTAAATCTCTTTAATTTGGGATGAAAATGGAATTTCGATTCAGGTACTCAAATTCGATTAATAGAATCGACACGATTGAAGTGAAAGTATATTTAGGATTGAAAGACGACAGGAGTACGAAAAGAGCTTCAAGGTAGTAGAAACAACCTGCAAAAAAACAATTTGCTCTGCCTCCTTATAAACGCTGCCTTCCTGTATTTATAAAGTCTGACCATTCCACACTCCACTAAGTACAGCAACTCTTCTTACTGTAAACCGGTGTGTTCCGTAACCTCCTGTAATAGTCTCTAATTAAATCACTATGACCTCTGAATACCTTTCACGGTCTTCTTTGACAGAGGGAAATCTGAAAATTTCACAGCCTCTTTGAGATTGATCTGGAACACAAAAAAAATGCAAAAATAATTGACGTGAAGGTAAAACGTTTGTAACAACACAATGAAGTGGGATTTGGGGGTCTGCTGAACAGCAGCTGAAAGCCGGCTGTGTGTACTGAACAGGGAACATACATTTAAAATATTATTTTGAATTCGAACGTGTTTCACGTGTCCGAAGCCTGCGAAAGGAATGTAACAAAGTTCCGAAACAAAACGTCGTCCTTTAGAAACATATTTAAGAATCGTAATAATTCTGGTGAGGCGGTGCTATGTGTGCATTACCTCTTCGTACTTTTTAACCAGTTTATTGATGTGCTCTCTCTCAATCTGCCACTCCGGTTTCTTGGGTCTCTTATCCCGTTTAATGCGACTTTTCTTCCTGTCATATTTCTTCTTCCACCGCTCGAAGTTCTTCACGGGATCCTGCGTGTCCTTGTTTTTACCCCCCTTTGCCTTCACTTTGGGAGCAGCCGGTTGTTTCCCCTGAGTTTCCCCGGCCATGTCGTCGCTGTTTGCAGTGAAGCACAATCCAGCATGGGAGCCGCAGGATTCAGCGTGACTTCCCACCACAACACTGTCGGTCGCACCGAAGTGACGTCACACCCACACTTCCGTTTGCGCTTCCAGCAATGGGCTGTACTGAACAAAAAATAACTTTTATTAAGTGTATTAAGACCGTTAATACTTGTTGGTTTAATATAGTTCCATAGTTAATGAGAGATAGTAACGCCTTAGCTGTTATCTGTCTTTAATGTCAGAGAACACCATTTTGTAAAAGTGTAAATTCACCATTAATTGCTATTTTGTATGTGATATTCCTGGCACAAAATGTTATTCATATTAACTTTAATATTGTGTTCAACTGTCTGCCTTCTTGGATTGTTCTTTTTTTAGTTTTTGTCTACTATGATGTCTTCGTTTGCTGTGAAAGTTTTTTTTACTATCCAGGTCCAAGATGATGTTCTCATGTCCAACAGAAGGTGGCGCCCTTTCGCCAAGGAAAATGAGCTGCACTTCTAAACGGATGTTGGTGGAAAGTACTGTAACTGAGCTTAGGTTAGCGCACAACGTTTTTACTTTTTCCATATTATAAGATTATGTAACACTTTTATAATTTATCTTAAAGTTCAAATTCTTACTAGTATCTCTTATTGTCATGTTTGTTCCCGATCGATATCTCGTTGATATATAATGGCAATTCCAAACACAATCAGCATTCTCTTTGATTCGCACAATCTCATTTCACTCAAGGTTAATAACCGACAGTAAAGCTGATCTTTTAAAACGACCCCTTTGAAGTGCAGGGAACGTGCAGTCACTTTCTCTGACGTACAGATCCTGGCTGATAATCGGCAAATAGAAAAGGATACGGAGGCGGTACACCCATGTTTGCACATTGAATGCTCCGAAGCAGAAGTTAGGGAGAGAAATTATTTTTTAACTGACTGTACTTTGCAGGAGTTTACTCGGAAAACACTACAGCCCAGGGAGAAGTGTTAGTGTAAGTCCCGTGAGTCTGAAGTCTCGACCGACCTCGCTGTTCTGCGAGGTGGAGTGCTTTGATTTAAAGATATTGATTTAATAAATATTAAATATCATCCAGGTGGATACTGCACATTGGTGGTGGTGGAGGTGAGTCTCCAGTACCTGTAAAGCGCTTTGAGTGGAGTGTCCAGAAAAGCGCTATATAAGTGTAAGCAATTACTAATTATAATTATTATATTGAAGTCAAATACCCCTTTGGAAAGCGAGAGTCACTTATCACCCTGTCGACCATTGATTTAAAAATATAAATGCCTCGGTTTATTTCGAATTTGATACCGAATTCTACGCGCTGTTAACTTCCAACGCATTTCCACTCACCTTGCGTGCTTTGTGTTTGTTTTATTAAGGTCTAAGAAGGGTAGGGACTTAATGGGTGACTTAAATATGAAGATGATGATGATGATGTTGATTAGAGCCGAAACCCAAGACTGGAAAGTCTTTCCGCATTTGCCTTCGAAATAAAAAAAAAACAGAGACAACCGATCATGCATATACTAGAGCATGCCACGCATAGGACTTTTCTTCTTGCCTATAAATAATAAGCAGGAGCGCGATGGACCTGCAAGGGGACGGGGGGTTAACAGCGCCCCCCCCTCACCTAGCGGCGGCCGGCCGTCATTGCTGGCGCTGCTCCCGGACACGCCTGCGCTGAGGTGAGCCCCGGAGCGCTTGGGCGAGCGGCTCGGCAGACGCGCAGCGTTCCTGCTTGTGCAAGGAATGGGGTTCGCCCTCAATTTCAAACCACATTTTTTGGAGCCAGCTTTTTTTTTTCTTTTTTGTCTTTGTTGTTGTTGCTGCTGGCAGCCCGTCTGTGAGAAAATGCTCTGGAGCGTCAGGAGTTAACTGCGAAGGCGAGAACAAGACCAGCCAGGTATAATGACAGCAGCGGGCGGCAGTGTGGATGTCAGTTGCCTGAGCAAGGACGAGGTGCGCCAGATCCTGGGAGTGCTGGAGAGAGACGAGCGCCTGAAGGAGACCGACAAGCAGAGGATCAGGTCGGGCAGCAGTTTGTCAGTGTTTCTCGCAACCCTTCACTGCTAGCTTGAATGAGGCAAGAAAAAAGGCAAAACTGAAACCATTTTGTGTGCCACTGTATGGGATCGAGCGTTGCAACCATTCACAAACATGTTTTTAATAATAATAATTTGCACTAACTATAGTCAATTTCGATAGTGCAACAGCTGATTTTGAAACTTTTTTTACGATTCTTAAAACTTGATATACATTTTGACGCGCATGTCACGACGTCTGGTTTAAACAGGCGTTTTAAAGTTCTTCGCAGGGTGTTTTGGAAAGTTTTCAAAAATGTGTTTTGAATCGACGTCTGCCGGGGTCCAGCTGTCGCGAAGCGACACCACGACAGCGCTTTCGGCTCTGCAACGCGCTGCCTCTTTATTGATGCGAGGGCTAAACTGTGCTCCTACGGTCCTCTCTCTGTGGTATACAGTGTGCTTAACAAAGATTGTTTTTTTGCTGACCTATTAAATAGGCTGATATAGCTCGAGCCCTGAGCAGTACTACAGTAATTCCCAAGTTGAATGTTTAGCAATGTCCAGTTCTGTGTCACACACTTCCAGCACACCCACGCCCACTGTGGGCTTTTCTTACCTGTTTACAGACGGGTGGTGTGCTTTGGCACGGTTCAGTCACCCACAGGAGGCCTGCAGTCCTTATCTGCTACTTATCTCCCGACTCTCAGTGATGCCAGTATGATCACCGGCGCTCACGGAACGCAACACAAGATTTAACTTGCTTTCGCAGGACTTACTTTTTGTCGTTTTACAAAAATAAAAAAATAATCAAGGGTATAAAGTTACCAGGGTTAAAATAGAAGTTTCCTGGATTCAGACTGTTTGTATGAGACCAATGGAAAGGCACAAACCAACCTTTTTAACCAAGGATGGCTTGATGCACCTTTTATTAAAACTGTGTGAATTTAGGACATTTTTGAATTGCTTTAGGTGGATTTACAACATCTAGTTTCAACAGTTTGAGATGTATGACTGACAAAACAACTGTTGTGTTTTTAATGTGGCGCTAATAGAATGCCACTGTTCTAAATTCCACTCTTGAGAAAAAGATTAATTTGCAAACAGTAGAATTGTTGAAGGAATTGTGAAAACCTTTCTACAGTATTTGTATTGGTAAAGTGCTGTATTGGTATATGGCAGTATTTTAATGTTGTTTAAAATGTCTAATAAAGTTCATTTCCAGTGTGCAGCACAGTAAAATCTAAGCTGCGCTCTAAATGACAGAAGCCCAAAGGTGGGTAGATCCCTACAGTCCCTGTTGGCCTTTCTCCCTGAGTCGTGCCAGACAAGCGCAGTAGATTCACTGCCTGATTGCCTTTCCCATTCTGATCTTATGTTGTTAGTATCAATTTTGTTTTGTGCTGACAAGTACTGTATAAATGAATAAGACATCACCTGTTGATTATATCACTCTCTTTTGGGTACAAGCTTTAACTGATCCCTGGAAACAGGTTCTAAGATTGCCATAATTAAAGTGATTTACTTTGTTCTCTGACATGAAAACATCTGGCACTAGATCAACATCAGAGTGAACGTGAAAACAGATAAACCGAAACACGAATCGACAACAGGATTTAAAGCATTGCTTTACTGTATATAACTGAACCTTTTCAAGTCATTTCTATGGCCATCGCCCCACGTTTCTTCTCCTTTTTCCACGTTTCTCCTCGTTTCTCCTGATTTTTGATTGGCAGGATGAAAGGCTGTTTGAAATAGGAGATAAAAGCAGAGTTCTCCAGGGAAGTTTGATTTGGCATAAATGACTGTCGGAGGGGTATTTTTAAGTTGATTTTTTTGCAGATCTGCCTGTTGCATTTTGTCCCTGCCAGCTCCGGCTTCTGGAGAGTATATCCCCGAAGTAACCAGTTTGACACCCTCTGTAATTGCAGCATGGGTGTAGTATCATGAGACAACCTCATGCTGGGGCACCTGGCAGTGATCAAAGGTCTTGACAGTCGCTTAGACCTGTGCTTTTATACCTTAGCAAAGATTGTGTTTCGCTGCTGGTATTGATCTACCTGTTTGGCTGTACATACATGTGTTTGTGTTTTTATTACAGTAGTCCTCCTTGCTGGAATTATCTTACAGTTTTGCTTTTTCATGCTGCCATTGGTCTTGCCAGGTGTATAAAAAAAATACATTCTCAAATCTAAGAGATCTACAGCAGTTGTGATGTCGTGTGATTAGAGCTAACATGTGCGCTACAGTATGTCACAGACAGTTCTGTTAATTGCTGCTTTGTGTTGTTTTTTTGCAGCCAACTCGAGCACACGAGGAGAGATCTGAGGTGGCTGAGAGGTGTGACTGGACAGTGGTTTGAGGAAATTAAGAAAGCTAAGTACAAGAATGAGTCCAACGTGAACAACCTGCTGCAGCAATCTCTCCGGGTTAAGGACAGGAAGAAGCTAAGAGCAGGTGAGTCTCCTCACAGCAGGGAGAGTGTACCAGCTCCTCTAGAAGCATGGACGGTCCTCAGGGCAGCCTTGGGTTTCTTAAAAGAAGAATCAGAAAGCAAAGCCCACAGTGCCTGCTGCAGCTGTGTCAGGAGAAGCAAGACCAATCTCACAGGAGATGCGCAGCACCAGGTGAAGATGAGGCTTTGCAGTAAACTGACGCTAGACTGAAAAATGGGTGTGGTGACTATTTTACTAAACATTTGGGACAGTTTTGTTGGGGGGGTTTTCAACGCAAAACCATGTTTTTCAAAAAAGCCACAAAATACAAGAGGTATAAAAGAGAAACACGCCCAAAGAATGGAATTCAACCACTAAAAAACCAGGGGGAAATTACATCAGCTCTGGAGACAAAGCCTCTGGCCAGGCTGTCAGTGCTTTAACGCTAACTAAGTGTAAAATGACAACGTAACGCACATCTTTCCAATATTGAGAACAGTGTTTGCAACCCAGTGCAACTGGGGGTGTCTTGGGGCAATACCTGAATATACCCCCCCGGGCTCACAAGACAGGTCTTTTCACCACAGCTAAACCCCTTAGCAGAAGAGGGTTATGGTTGATCTGCAGGGACTATTAACCACATCTGGATGTGTTATTTTAAACAAAAGTATGGATATATCCAGCCTGGCCAAATTGGCAAGTGGTGGTATTAAGACAGCCTTGAATAATTATTTTTCAGAAATACTTGTTTGTCACACCCAGGTTCCACAGCATGATATACAACAGAACACAGAACATGCGGTTAAAGGATTATCCTGTGGTTTTCTCTCCTGGATATGCGCAGTTTTTGCTGTCTGTGGATTAATGGCCTTTTGATATAATTAAGTATCGGATCATTTCATTTTAGAATTTCACTTTATTGGGGTTGCTCACAGGCCAGCGGTCGTAACACTGACCAGCCACAGAAACAGTAACTACATAGAAGGACAACTTTACACGGAGGAAAGGCTAATGAATTATGCAACATGACACATACCCCAGGACCTGAAATATGTGAACAGTCTTCAAAAGCTTGTGTAAGAATATAATGTTCCCACGAGCCAACAGCAGGCAGAAATGTTCTCTGAGGAGTCACAGAGTGTTGTATTATAAGAATTCTCTCCTGATATTAAAATACCTAGAAGATATATAAAGCTCTGTGTGTGTGTTCTTGGCAGTGCAATCATGAGAAGATAAACTGGCCATCTCTCTGGAAGGAGTGATGATAACCAGTATACATGGCCAAAACAATATCCATAAAAAGCTGTTTGCTTCAGTGTGAAAAGTCTGTTTTTGGTATTTATTGTGTTTGAGTGTGGAGCCTGTTGGTATAATCATACAAGACGTTTTGTGTCTTTTAATGCTGGCAGAACTACCGTGAGTGCTCTGTAGAAACTCAGAAAAGGCGGCTGTTTCCTCAGTCAGATACTCCAGCCATTAAGGTTTCTGTTTTTCCTCTAGTCATGACCTGTACGCAAAAAAACCTTGGATGGGATTTAATCCAAATTTTTCCTTTCAATAATAGTGAAGTGCTTTGTGAGTGTGTCTTTCTGGTGTCTCACTTTAACACAAGGACACCTAAGAGGAGTTTAAGTGAGAGAACCTCACCCACCACGATTTCTGCTGAGTTCATTCTGGAATGAGCATGTGATCCGAAGGCCTCAGTCAGTATTCCCTGTGCTCCTCAGGAACAAGGGCTTATCCAGGCTGGGGCAGGATGTTTGAGTACATCATTGAGGCGGGGGCAGTCCCAGAGCAACAAGAGTTTCTGTGAAATAAGTAAAATAAGAAAAATCATTGTTGTGGCTCCTTTCAGGGTCTATTGGTGTTTCTTCTAAAGATAAAAGATTTGAAATCTGAGAATACATGTAGAATATTGAGTTTGGTGGATCTGTCTACCTGCCTGAATGAATTACGTCAGAATTACCTGTTTTAATTAGCTTTCAGAGGCTGTCAAAAGAATGCAAGATCTTGCATTTTACAGAAACACCCTGATGGACTGTGTTTATCACAAATTTTGGAAAACTCAATATCTTGTTTATATGTGCTGCACTGCACAGAAAAAAAAGGGGTAAAAAAGGTGTCATCGTATATTCATTCTTTTCAGACGGTAAGAAAAGCCCATTTAAAGCAGGTCTCCCGTGTGTTGCACTACCCTGCTACATTAGCTTGAGTCAGACGATTGAAGACCATTAAACTTTTGTAATTAATTAAGAAAGAAGAAGCATTCCTGGCCAAATCAGGTTTATGGGTCACAAATAACCACATCAAGGAAAGGAGAGAGACTTCCAGACCAACTCATGGAATTTTCAATGCAGTGAATTTCTGCAATAAGAGTAAGATAAGACCACTTTATTGGCCATATACAATTTCTTGCATTAGGAATGTGTCTTTTCGCAGACCCCAGCTTGCTCTCCATGAGACACACAGACGGGGAGAGAAGCTGGGGGTCAGAGCGCAGGATCAGCCATCTATACGGCGCCCCTGGAGCAGTTGGGGTGAAGGGCCTTGCTCAGATGCCCAAGAGAGTAGGATTCCTCTGCTGGCACTGGGATTTGAACTGGCAACCTTCCAGCCACAGGCGCAGATCCTGAGCCACAGAGCCACTGTGAAATGGATGAGAAATGAGAAATGGATAAAATAATTCCCCTCTGATGGAATCTAAAATAATAGATCAATAATGGAGTAGATTTAAATTCTACTGGAGCAGGACATACAGACTTCTAATTTTCAGTAATAAACTTGATACCTGTTGAAATAGTGCAGCCCTGTGTTTTGATAGTTTCCTACATTCCTAAAAAGGCATTGTCCAGCGCTTCTAGAGCTAATCAGTTAATAACTGTCTATATATCCAGTTTTTTCAATGCAGAAGCATGTCAACCATAAACCTTCTATCTGCTCTCTGGTAGCAGATAGATAGAAACTCCCAGCCCAGTGCTTCACTACCCTTCACCCAAAGGAAAGACACAGGTTTGAATTGACACAGGACACAGGACACAGGACACAGGACACAGGACACTGGACACTGCAGTGGCTTCACAATGTGGAATAGCAGAAGAGGAAGACCTCTTCTGGCAATGGAAGCTGCTTCTGCAGTCCCGAAAGCACACAAATATCCCTTTTGGCACCATAAATGGGCTTCTTGGACTAGAAATAGGCATTGAAATGTGTTCTCAAAAGAGATCTTGAAAATAAAAGATGGGTTTTTCTTTTTGACTTAAGATCCAGTCATTTTTATTGTTCCTGTCTTCCAGAGCTTAAAGTGGGGAAGACGAGAGCTGTGGGAGACTGCAGCGATGACATGACTGCAGGCGCCGTCTTGAATGGCAGCCCCTACCGAAATCGATTAGCCTCTTTCTTCACCTTAAGGAAAAGGCACAGGTAAAGAGCCCAGTCATGGCCTTCACCGTATGATTTTGTGCTCATGCTCGTTTAAAAAATAAACCAGATGATTGCCTGACATGATGCATCCAAGAAATCAGTGCTCAGACCAGCCATGCTGTTATCGTCCTCAAAGTGAATCATTAACTGGGAGGCCCTGTGGAGCTGCCCTTTGCCCTCTGAGTCTGCTGAATTGTTCCTGATTTGCAGGTGCTTTCTGCCTCTTGGGATGTACCAGTAGGGTGTGTTGCATCAGCTACCTTTTCCCTTTAGAAAGCAAGATAACTTGCCATGAGTGACAGTGGTTAGAGCCAGGTAAGACTATTCCCAGCTGTCCATTGCCTAAGGTAGCACAGTCCCCAGGGAGGCTGCCATAGCGATCTTTGTGGTTTGTTGTTTCTATCAGCCCATTTCTGCTTCGTCATGCCTGAAGAATGATTACACAACAGGGGACTACAGCTGACAATAGAAGGGCAATTTCACACTCAGTGTAAGACCAACACCTTCCCTTTATTGGTTACTGCAATTACAGTTTAAACACATTACATTATCTCTTCGAAGAGCAGCCTGACATGAGGATAAATCTGAAAAGAAAGCAGGGTAAAGCTAGAAAGCAGGCTGGGGAATTAGGTGTTTGGTGGATTCTGTCATAACCTTATTATATCTATTGAAAGGTTAATATTCCGGATAAGCATGGGATCTCATCTCCAGGGATGTTACAGTTGTTTCCATAATGTGAGATGTGTAGTACGGCTTGCTTTGTTTTGTTTTGCTCTTTAATCCTGGCGGATGATAACTCTTAGCCCTGCTTGTCATCGGAAGCCGTGGTGTGTAAAAATAGGAAGGACCCGTGTGTTGGAATGCTGCCTAGCTTGTAACGCTGGGGAGCCTGGGCGGTCTCTGCCGTTTGGGCTGATGGGCTGAGTGTGATGACGGGCTCAGCTTCCTTATTAAAGAGCCTTCAATAAATACACAAGACCTGTAACTAAAGTCAGGGATACCCAGAACATTAATGCTCTTTGACGCTGCTCGAATTAGAGGAAGGGGGGCCTGGCTGGTCCTTGTGCTGTGTCAGTACTCAAGCACTGCAGGATGGATAAGGAAGGCAAACCGAAAGGTGTCCCTGCTTTACAGATTGCAAGACTGTCAGTGAAAAACTGTTTCTGGTCATTATTTTAAACATAGCATAGAGGCATAAGCATTAAGACAGTTGGAATTATTTTGTTAAATTTTCATTCCAGCCTCCACATTCGGATTTGCATTTCAGGTCTGTGTGGTTTTGTAAAGTACAAAAAAAAGGCGAGATGTGAGAATTCATTTTTTTAACTTGTAATTGTTCTTACAATGTTTATTTCTTCTCGGTAGCACGTACCAGGACGCAGTAAGGAAGCGACTGGGAGAGGAAGCAGAGGTGAGCACCTGGGGGCAGACTGGGAAGAATGTGAAGTGTTTGAGTTGGGCTGTTTCATCTTTTTTTTTTGCTGCCGTTAAAACAAATCAGGGCTGTAATTGATTTAGACAGACGCATAAACTACTTGTGAAACCCTTCAAACAGCCCGTGTGGGGGTGAGAGGGCAGACTTTGCCTCACAGCGGGGATGAAGTAACCCTGTTCTGGTTTTTGGCGGAGGGGCAGATGTTGTTTACCACACCCAGCTGTTTTGGTTTTGAGAAACACATCAGGGGGGATGAATCACTTTGTCTAATGTGGCAGTTGCTATACAAGGAAGGCCTTTCAGTTAAACACAACTGCAGCTTTAACCCACAGTCAACCCAAACGGTTTATGTTTTACCCTTCTGCCAGTTTTGCACTCCTACACAGATAACATGTTACTGCTCCCACATCAACAACAAAATGGTTGTGCCTCCAATCCCAAGTGAAACGAAAGTGTGACTGAGTTCTTGCCCTTTTCACTCCCAGTATGGTTCCTGTAAGAGACTGCCAAGACAAGAACTGCAAGAATTCCCACATGAAGCAGCTTTACCTATAAGATCAAGTTTCATTTGAAAGTTAAGGACCACATCGCACATCAGCAGGGATGTGCTTGCTGTGAGTGTGTATATACATACACACACGTGTGTGCGCGCACACACACACTTACACAGAGGGCCTGTCAGGATAGCAGCGTAGCTCAAAAATTTGTACCAGAGCTCTTAATGCAATTAAATATTTTGTACATATTTCACGCACTAACATGGAGTGAAAAATCCAAAATTTATTTTAAAACGTTTAGAAACAGAGGTGGATGTTTTTATTTTTTCTCTTTTGCTAATTAGGATTTGGAGACAGATACCAATGACCCATGGCAAGGCAGGGCAGCAATCATTTCTGACTTCAGCTTTAATTGCAGAAGAAAGCAGAGGCTCAGAATGCTCAAGTTAAAAAAAATGAAGTTGATAAAGCGAAGGAATCCATGTCGTCCTCAGATTCCCACCTCAGGCGAAACTATTTTCAGAGCCAGCGTGAGGAGTGTTGGCAGACACAGAGCCCAGGTGCTTCTCTGCTGCTCCTCAGTTCTGCCGTCACTCGGGTCAGGCTGCAGATGGGGAGATTTGGGACGGGGGACAGCTGCGCACGCCCCTGCCGCTGTCCCCCGTGAGCAGGTGGCAGCACGGTGAGAGGAAATGACCGCGATTCCCTGTGTTTGCAGCCGGACCGGGCGGACACCGGAGCCTCGCACGATGAGCAGGACAAACAGGCCGCGGAAGGAGACTCTCCCCACCAGACCAGCCGCCCGGACAGACAGCTGGAAGAGGAGGTCTTCACTGGTGAGTGGTGGCTCCGGTGCTGCTGTCGTTATCAAGCACCTGGGATCCAGAACCGGAGCGGTAGTTCAGCTGGGATTTCCAACATGCATTTCTTCTCCCGGATTCGTTTGTGCAGATGAAGGGAGTCCTGGTGCGGCAGTGGAGAGGTGGCAGTCGTGTGAGAAAGCGTGCTCGCGGTGGCAGGGGGCCTGTGTGTTCAGCAGGACCATGTGCTGGCTCAGCCTGGCAGCTTTTCTCCATTTCCCCGTGTGGCCTTCTTAAAGCACCTTAGTCTGTCGAAAAATGAGTCATGACGCGTGACTGACACACTGTTCAGTGCTGTCTTGGCACTGCACTTACTAAAAAAAGACATTTCCTACAGACAGAAAACTGTCACACTCTGCACATAGGTACATTCATAAAGTTTTTTCAGCGTCGAGTGTTTCCCTTAGCATCATATTCGTTATAACAGGGCTCAGTTCTGGTACAGGATAATGCTTTTTCTTTAATACTGTTTGATCCTTTGGCTTGATCTTCGATGAAGAAGCCAAGGCTGTGATTATTTCCTCATTTTGTGCATTCAGATATTGAACATGCAACCCTCAGTCCTCACTGTACACTGTGCCCATCTCCTCAAAGACTCGGCTCCCCTAAGTGACTATTGTTGTTATAGTAATTATCTACACTTCCTGGCACAATTCCTAGAAACAGACCACTGTACAGTACAAGACAGTACTATACTCTCCGGGTTACAAAACACTCAACTTGAGTAAAATCTCAGTGAATTACCAAACAGTCTGTTCAATTCCTGAATGTTTTTCTTTTTATTTTATTGCAGAATACAGTGAGATGTATACAATATACTGATATATTATTACATGTGGGCTATGCAGTGCATAGAAAAAAATAAGAACCTAGTTCAAGCAAAGTATGAAATGGTAAACGTGCACACAGCTCAAGAGTGGAATCAGACTGGTGTAAAATTCGACTTACGGAATGGCTGATGTGAACTTTTGTAGAAATCAAAGACTGTCTTGTATGGTAGCTACAGCAAGTCACTTGACATTCCAGGGGAGGAACCGGGAGAAGGAGAGTTTGAGAATGTTTTGTTCACTTTCCATTGTGACGAAGACTAATCCACATTTCTCACGCTGGGTGTGCCTGTATTGCATGTCCAAGAGAGACACAAGCCTCTACTCGACAGTAATCCTTTGTTTTCCTTTAAAGTCTTAGGTGACCTCGACAGCAGACTCACTGAACCGGATCAGGAAATTCTTGGGAACCCGGGTCCCAACTGGGCTGAATTAGAACAGAAGGAAGAGCTCAAGCAAGAGGAAGCAGCTGGATTGGCGCTGCAGGACAGAGACGAGTCGACAGCGTGGCTGTTGCAGGAGGAGCAGAGCCAGCAGTCGACCAAGGAAACCGGTCATCCGCGCCTGACAGTAACAGCACAACATGGCACGGCGAAGGGACCAAGAGGCACAGCTGTCACTGACACTGAAGGGAAGGACAGAGTGACACAGGGTCCAGCAGCAGACCTGCAGACGCCGGTGGCTGAGGAACGCCAGGCCGATTCCGCAGGGAGCAGTGAACAGTGGCCTGTGATCGACTTGTCTGCGCTGAGGAGGTGCCAGTCACTGACTTCTCTGAGTTCGCAACGTCAAGAAAACGAGAACTTCGATTCGATGTCTGGATTTATCCCGTTAACCTGTCCAATCTCCTCCGTTATGGCTTCGGATACCATGAGACTGTTGGCAGGAGACGTGACTCGGCAGAAAAGAGACTTTGCGGATTCATACAAACTAGAATGCAGGGTGGGAGCAATGGAAAGAGACGCTTTCAAATGGAATCGCGCTGTCAGCGTGGACTGCGCTGCCCCACTTACTCGCAGGCATGCTATTTCTCAACCTCTTTTCACCCTGAAGAGACAAACGAAAACTGAAAGAGATGTATTTTGTGAAACCAACAACCGCCAAGGGAGAAACCTCTCTCCCCACTCTCCAGTTCTTGTAGTGTCCACTGGGAGCAGACATAGAGAAGGAGCCTGTTGGCTTGTGGGTAGTGACCCTCTGAGCAGTAAAACAGTCGAGAGCCCCGTTTTTGACTCCTTCTCAACTGTCAGGAAAATGGGATGTTTTCGAAATGCAGGAGACAGTAAGGTCAGTTCACCACAAGGAAAGCATCAGTCTGAGCGTCCTACACAAGACACTCTCAGCCACGGGGGGTTTTCACAGACCAGTCTCTGTAAAGCACACCGCCCCGTGTATCAGGGGCAGCAGGTCACCGGCCCAGGGTTTCCTCTGAGGAGATATAATTCTGGACTTCTCAGGAGGACCAGCAGTGTTCCTTTTGATCCCAGCGAGCACTCTCTGCACTCTCCCCCCTGTACCACTCCCTTCACGAGCACTCCCAAAAACAGCCCTGGGGAGCAAGGCAGAGCAACCCAAGATTCCTACAAGGCACTGACCCTCAGCGCCGATGGGAAACCACCGCCTTCTCCCCTGAGATACAGCAGGGCCGGCCTGGGTGAGGACTACGGAGAGAATGTAGGATGTAGGAGGCAGTTCTCAAGAGCAGAGTCTCTGCTGTGTCTGTCAGGTGCTGGCTTGAGCCCCCCGCCGCTCGGTCGTGCCTCTGCGGACAGTGGGGCCCAGTGGGGCCCAGCGCATCACGCGCAAGATGACGTGGGCTCTCAAGGCCTCGCTCGCCAGCCGTCCCCGGTCGAACGGGACACGCAGCGGGATTCTATCCAGGAGAAATCTACCCGAAATCCCGTCAACAGTTTTCCCAGCAGAGACAGGAACGCGAGTGATGGCGAAACCAGCTCAGCGCCACAGCCAAGCCCCGCAGACACTTATTCTCTTCCTTCCCAAAGAAACAAGTACAAAAGCTCCCCAGGTCCAGGTCTATCCAGCAGCCCTGCCTCACCGTCCAGATCCCCCCAGAGTGAAGACGGATCAAAGGCTTGTTTATCCCCACAGCATCACAGCCCCAGCTGTGGGTCCTTGTCCCCACCAAGGCGTTCGTCTGACCAGGAGATGCAGTGCGACAGCCGCTCTTCCCCTGCCACCCCAGGGGGTGACAGCAGGGCCTTTCCTTACTGGAGGAGTGTTTCTCGGTGGCGTCCCGGCTCACACTTTGTCTTTGATCTTTACGAAGGAACAACTGACGGCGGCTCGCCCAGAGGTGAGCTTCAGGGCCGCTGCCGAGATGTGGTTCCTGACCTTTCACCACAATCCCTCCTTCCTGTGCCCACCAGCAGGTACGGGAGCAGACTGAGCAGTTCCTCCACAAGCAGCTCGGCTCGGGCCTCGCCCAGCAGCACCTCCGAGCAGCTGTCACCTCTTCCTGCCCATCACAGGAGGGCAAAGTCATATGACTTGTACAGGGATGGCAGCGCCTCGCCGGAAACGGAAGATGACAGCCCACACGGCGATGCCCGCTGGCCCCTCGCAGATATGAGATCTGCGTCTGAGAGGATACACCGCATAGCGATGCAGTATAATTTGTCTCCCCCACCCCAGGCCGCAAAACAAAATGACAAGGAGAGTCGTGTCAAAAGGGATGGGTCTGGCACAAGGTGGGCCACTCTGCCCAAAGAATCTGCTCCATTCAAGTCAGATTTGCCGGGCCTGATTTCAGACAGTCCACCTGGGAAAACAACAGGTGTGGAGCGGTGCTCCCCCAGTTACAGAAAATATGCCTCGCTGCCCCTGACGACTGAAAGCATTCAAGTTCCTCCCAGACCTCCCACACATAACACACTTACTGGAAATGACAGTTACATCCATGCTCATGTGGACAGCAGAGTCCTCGTGCCTGAGGGAAATGGGGAAGCCAATCCAATTAAAAACACAAATGGACAGAATGATGCAGGAGCTCCTCCCCTGATGAAGCCATGCGGTCTGACAGATGAAGGGCGTACTGTAGCTAAGCCCCTCTGGTCTGATCCCGCAGCTTCAGTAAGGACTCCGGAAAGCAGTCCATTGGAACAGCCTCTCAAGAAGCGCGTCCTGAACGGAAGCCTCTCGCCGACAGGGAGCAGACAAGACCAGAGAGGTCCACCCGATGTGGGAGGGGAGCCGTCTTCCACTGTCGGAGCAAACGGCACTGCCCCGTTAGTCAAAGACAGAAAAGTTGAACAGGTCCTAAATCGCACAAAGATGACCTTCAGTGCCAGGTGGCGTGAGGAGGAGGTACTTAGATCAAGGAAAAAGAGCAAGAAGATGGTGGAGGTCTCGTCGACAAGACCTGAAAGCCCCAGAGAAGTGGACCGGCATGAAGAGATAATCAGGGTGTATTTAAAGCCTTTGAACAATAATAACAAGCTGGTAAATGATAATTACCACCTCCAGTATTCAAGCGTCCAGCAGACACATGGACTAAGAAAGGGCAGCGTACCCAAGGACATGCAGGCCAGTAGTTATGAAAACCTGAGCAGTCCAGAAAGCATAAAAGATATGAAGGTGAACAGAAACCACTGGCCTTCCAAGGATTATGGACCAGTCAAAAATCAATGCTTTTCTCCTACGGGTTACGGCACAATCCCCGGGAGGAGGTCATCTGCCAGCCCGAGGCTCAGCTGTGACAGAACTGACTTTCTCCTGGAAGATGTGGAAAACGCGAACGTGGTATTCCACAGCAGGTCTGCTCGGAAAGACAGCACCTCCCCACACGGAGGCGACTCGCATCGTGATGCGGGGGAACATCCTGCAAACTCAAAAGGTCTGAAAAACCCACGCAGCCCCACCGAGCATCTCTCAGCAGCAGAAGCACGGCCGAGGCAGGGCCGGTCCTACTCGGTGAGCAGCGTCCACGTCAGCCGGCCGTCTGGGTACGACCAGATATCCACAGCCGCAAAACTCACAAGCGAGAAAAGTCTGCATGCTTTCTCCCGAGCACGGTCCTATGCCTTCTCCTATGACCCGGACAAAAACTCGGAGTGTGACAAGACGGGCAGGACTCTTCTTCGCACGAGAAGAGGGTACAAAGTCAAGCCCCCAGAGATTCCCATATACAGCGCAGAGCAGCAGGCTCAGTACCTGGGCCAGATTAAGAAATCCCTGACCGTGGGACGGATCTGGAAGCCGGGCTGCTTTGAGAACCCTACATCACTGAAGGATGAAGTCTCTCCCTCCTCCTCCTCCTCCTCCCCAAGATCAAGGCTGTGGAGCTCTTCCTCCGCCAGCAGCTTCACGTCCCAGGACAGCCCGTCTCCCCAGGGCCTGATGCCCTGGAGGGGGAGCTACAGGAGCACCCCCTCTGCCTTCGAGGGGTCTGACTCTGACACCACCACCGACGATGAATACTACCTGGACGCGGACGAGCGGGACAGAGAATCAGAACTCTGAAGCCCCGGACCACATGGGGATTCTAGTTTTTTACAGACTTTCCCTTCTGTAAAGAGAGGGGTAAAATTGGCTTGTGGTTGTAGTAATTGTTCCAGCTTGTTTCTCTTTATGTTTACTCACTCTTTGATTTCTTATTTTCTGCCATTCAAACCACACTCCAGCTTTAGGCTGTTTTTTTTTTTTCCAGTGTGATGTTATCGCCCAGAAAATCTCATTATGACGTCCCAGTGTTCGTTTTTAAGGGTGACAGCAGGTATTGTTTCAGTTACAGCTTGTATCTTTTAGCATCACTGCTGCCAATATTCTGTCTGGCTACGACAAAGAGAGCCAAAGATAATTCCGTGCTAAGTCTTAGAGTAAAGGTTGCTGTAAATGCTTGTTCGAAGCTTGAAGTACACTTAGAAAATTGCACAATATAAAAAATACTTACTGCCAAAGAGTTTAGAGCACTTGACCATATTTCCAAATTCTACAGCAGATTTCTCCATTGAATTCCCTCAGTTGTAAGAGTAGAAACCAGTTTCACAGTTTAATCTAATTGTTTGCGTGATTACTTTGAAAACAAATATTTTTGACTAATTCATGTTCTTATTCACCAAACATAGTAAACCACCAGTGCGTTAAGATACGTAGCTGCTGTATAATTAGACATTTCAATCAAGGTGAACCATTTTTATAGTCAGACAGTTGTTTTCTTCTTGTACGATGCACAACAATTTAGAAAACGCCTTTGAAAATGAATCGTGCATCTTCTCAGAATAGCACTTCTACATGTGGATCTCAACAAAACAAAGGCACTTTAGTGGACGTTCGAATTATATATTATATATATTTGTATTTGACAGGCTTCTGTTATGGCAGACTGCACCAGCTGTATTTACCAGCAAATTAAAAATGATGATGTGTTTTTAGTTTAACCATCATGAAACTCCTTTGGTATTTGTTCTAAAATGCCTTGCGCTTGTATGGTACGTCTCATCCCAAAGGATCCCAGAGCACTTCACATGCAGCCCTTCAACTACCCCTGAAGTGCTGAAGCCCCCTATGAGAGAACAGTACAGCCGTCTCTGTGCCATTTAGGGAGGCCAGACTGTACAAGCCCAGAGTGGGATCTATCCAGGACGCCAGGGTTAACACCCTGCGGATACAAACAGTGCCTTGGGAACTTAAATGACCAGAAGCGGTCCGGACATCTGTTTTAACATGCTGTCATTCAAAGGAGAAAACACCATACAGTAGTGACTCCTGTCGTCACCCTGGCTTGGAGGTGAGGGGGAAGAGCACCACCTACTGGTCCACCAACACCCCTTATAGCAGCAGCCTGCTCTTCCTTATAGCAGGGCGGGCGGTTATGGCCCTGGGGGCTCCTGTGTCTGCACATTTCCTGGGCCTTTTCAAAGCCGAAGCACATTAAGGACAAGGGGAAGTCGTTAAATTGGTGCAGCTGGGGCAGTCCAGACAGCCTTGGTGAGCTCAGGGTACAGGCTGCTGCTGCTGCTCCCCAGTCTAAATCACAGAGCTTGTGTTTCATTTTACATGCTCTGGTGAACAACAACCAGAAGGCACATGAAATGTGGGGGAGGGGGCAGGGGGGGTGAAAAAGCTTGTTACTATTCCTGCTTCTGGTACTAGGGTGGATTTTTCAAATTGTGTGCATACATAGTTATTTTGAAAAAAACTTTAAGGGTATACATTTCTTTAAAAATATTTTAAATGAAACGGTTCACAGCTGAATCTTTATATCACACTTTTGGTCTGTACAACTAAAATATCTGAATCTCATTTGAAATTGTGAACATTTACAAAATGTACAGAATTGCATATATATATTTAAGATGACAGCTAGCGGGTTATCATATTGAATGTGTCCATTATGTTGTACATGTATATTTTTAATAATGTCTTATTTAAATGTTTTGTGGACAACTGAATGTATTTGTTTTTTTTTACTGTTTTAAGTAAGAATGTAAATATGTTAATGTAAAATAAAGTAATAGCTATAAATTACAGTTTAAGATTATTTTGATAAAGGGATAAGCTACAGAGAAATTGCATATATTTATATAAATAAACTGTTTAATTTCCTTGTCTGTTGAAATTAAAGGAATGATCTTAAATTGTTTATTTTGCTACAGTTTTATTTGTTTATTTGTTATATAGTGATGCTTTATTTTGGTTTGAAAAAAGTGTGCTTGACTGTTTCACAGGAGTGAGAAAATACTTTTTTTAAATAAGTAAAGTTTTAAAATGTGAGTTTAAGCTTTGTTGTCTGGATCCTTCTTCATTTTGGTGTTTCAAATATGATTCGCTGATCTGTAAAATTCTTTTGTGTAAAGGTTGTGAATGGTTTTGCAGCTTTGAAAATGTGGCTGTTAAGAAGAACTGGGGAAAATGCCCTCTAGTACAAGATGTTTTGTTTTAGTAATGCTGTGCATGAAACAGAAACCATTTGTATTTTATTTTATCAAAGGGAGCTTGTAACTTAATTTGTTTTTATGTTACATATAATGGCATGAATTAAGAGCAGGCAGTAGTTCCTAATGTAAATTACTGAATCACTTTTCTGGAGATGAGCCACTTATTAAAACAGCACTGTTTGAATAATAAATACCATTTAGGTTAGGGTTGTTTGAGTTCAGAACAAAATACCCAGCCATGTGACTGAAGCCAACACTCTGGCTTCTCTCAATAAAAAGTTGGATGAGAAGAATGACAAAATGGGCCTGCTATCATTTGTAATTGTTCTTATTTCCTGAACACTGCTAGTGGTGACCAAAGACTTTGTTCACGTAAAGAGTAGCTGTGGTTGTGATTTTTAAACGTACACAGGAGACAGAAATCCTAGCAGGCAGAATAAGCATGTGAATGTACTGTAGTTTCAATTTTATAGATCATCATGTAGATAAAAGTATACCCTTTATAGTAACTGATAACCATGGGTGTGAAAATGCACTGTGTTTAAGAGTTCTGCACTGCCCAGAATCTTTTTTAATTAACACTTGTTTACATTTGAGTGTGAGACTATTCATTTAACCTTTAAGAGCTCAGATAACAAATACCACCAGACCACGTCAAAACACGTTAAATATAGGCTATCTTTCAGTTCACTAAAGTTTTTATTTATAAGTTATACTTTGCAAAACAAAGTGTTTAAAATGTCAGAACATAAGGGCCATATTTAATTTTTGCAGGTAATTAAGGTCATTGGTAAATGAGGCAATAATGTCTCTGAGCAATAAATCAAGGAGAGTACCACCAACTACCAAAATGAAAATGTTTTAATGTTTTTTTAATTATTTTTAGTGTTTACCGATAGTGGTAGACGCGGCATTGTTGAGGTGATGATGGAAAGAATTTACAGAATAAGTGAATGGGTTGCAAAAGCCATTGTGAAGGATCCTGTCAGCTTGACTTAGGGGTTGTTTAGGTACTGCTTGGCTTTAATAATTGAAACTAACAAAACACGCCCTATGTTCCACCTCAAAGTGTTCTCTCACCCAAAGCATTTTTATCACCATTATTATTATTATTATTATTATAATAACAGTTAGACCTGTTGTCTGTCAGGTCCTGACAGAGACCAGCACGCCCTGCAGTCATCACAAAGCAGAACTGCTGGTTTAACACCCATTGTACTGTACCTCTCGACATTCGGCTCTTGTGAAAGACAGGGATTGTTCGTTCGTCATTGCAAATTCTGTCAGCAGCTTGAACCGCTTGGCTTTTCATGATTAATACAAACACTTAAAAACATTTTAAAAGTTTTTTTTGTGGCTTGTAAAACCACGGCAAGATTAACAAAAAAAAAAAACAGTTTGCAAGCGTCAGGGTGTTTTTGTTGTATGTTGGGAGGCACCGAGTGGTTTGACTGCAAGAATAGTTGCATGCATTGTCTTTTAGAATGCAGTGTCTCTCTTGCAATTAAACCTTCGCGCTGTGTGACATTAGAAAACAGAATTGTTTTCCAGCGATCGAGCACAGTTTCATTTCTCAAGCGGAACTCAACAACTCGGGTCACTGTGCTCCATGGGACATACTTTCATGGCGCACCGTAAAACTACATCCATCGATTAGTATTTCACCTGAAGTACGGACTCGCAGATCCTATGCGATAGATAGGTGCGCAGGCAGGGTTGTCGTCGAGACGCAACTTGGCTTTGAGGGGAAAAAGATACGAATCCATGAAATGATCTACTAATAAGAAGATGTCTGTCTCCCGAAAGATGAGCTCGCCGGCCGACCAATCAAATTCAGACAGATCTTAAAAAAAGGTCGGGACGGCTGTCCCTCCCCCCCCCCCGTGCTGGAGTTGCAGTGAGTTAGCTATTGCCCTGTGTACCGGCACAATAAGTTGAAACCCAGGTACCATGGCTGGGCTGATTCGCACCCTGGAGCTTCTGCGCCTCATGCACGTTGTCAGTGCTGTCCTGGGGGCAGTTTTCTGCCCCGGCTCTGCTCGGGGTGAGCAGCCGGAGGCGAGTATCAGCCCCGAGAGGTCTCTCGTCTGGGGCGCTGGGCTCGAACCCAGGGCTGTGTTGCCGGTCCGGTATTTCTACATCCAGGCAGTGAGCACCTCTGGGAAAAACTTCACTCGCTCTCCAGGTAAACAGTCATTCACCGCGGTACCGGGGCTGCCTTCGGGAACGACAAAATAATAATTGATGATGGAGGTAGCCTGTAGTTAATCGCAGGGCAAACTGATTTATAATTCTTATTTACCGGCACAAAGCCTATAGCGAGCAGTATGATTAAGGGTTTGGGACAGGCGCTGGGGGAGAGGAAACGGATGTCCCATCTGAAGATGATGCCTTACTTTGCTCGACGGGAAAAAACTTTGGTTCAGAGCAAACACAAGAAGGAATAATAATTAGAAGGAGGAGGTTCAGTAATTATCTCATAATTGCATGTTACCCAGTAGGTATATTTATTGCCTTATAAGATCAGGTAGATCAGATAAGACTAAAAGCTCCAGACTGAAAAAAAAAACATGCGCAGGATGATCTGATAAATTGTTACATAATAACCATAATTATAATATCAATGTTTCCCCAAAGAAGGAGCGAGCAAATTTACTTAACGTGTGCAAATCTGTTCCTGGAAAAGTTTGTTTAAGAAGGAGGGGCCTGTCGGCATGTTGTTTTGTGAACCTGCAGCGTCTGAAGTTGCAGGACGTTCAGCAGTGCATGAGCACAGACTGTCCTGTAGTAGCTGCTCATTCAGTGTGGGATAGCCGGGGGAGGCAGCTAAAGAGAATAGGAAATTAATTTTAATTATTGTGCGTTATCCTAGCATTGTATGTGAAATATTATCTATGATAGTCATGAGCAGGCAGCCGTGTTACATAACAACAATGACAGATTAAGAATGATTACTACGTGTTAGATTAAATGTGTTAGTTTTTCTCAGTGTGTCCTGCGATGTGCTTGTGTCCTGTGCAGAGGGGTGTTTGTGTCCTGTGTTGAACTGGTGTCCTGTCCAGCGTGTTTGTGTGGGTGACCTGCGATGGGCTGGCATCCCATCAAGTTTGTCATCATGCCTTGTGCCCTGTGCTTATAAAATGAGTCCCAGGTTGCCATGAAGAGTAGGCACCTCCCCAAGGATGAATACCCCTTGTCGGAGGTAGCAGGTCTTTGTGTAGGTGATTTAAGCTCTTTTACAAAGCCAGCTTTCACCTTCTTGTGCAGCTAGCATTTACACCGAATGGAAAATTGCTCTATCTTTGTCTAAAGTGTGAAATAAGACTGCCAAGCAGAGGTGGGCACTGTTTCAGCTTCAGTGCAAGGGCTTGGCTACCTGGCTACAGTGTCTCTCTTCCTTCAGAATCCTCCTGCTGTTCCACCTTAATTACCCGGCCCTGCTCCCGGCCCGCCCCCTGTTCTGTTTCAGCGGATAGTAGGAATGTTGAGACGCTGAGCCGCGCTCCGCTTGGCTGACACACCCTGGCAGAAGGCGTAGCTGAAGGGCGTGATGAATTAAAGCCTTCTTGACTCTGTCACTCTTCAGTCAGGGAAACTGATCACTCCCTCAGATAAGATTTGAGAGAACCAGCGCAGCAGCTGAGGAACATATCCCAGACCTGCGCAGTGTTAATGTAGTAGATATAATGAAAAAGTCTCTCTTTTTTGTGCTTTGTTGAGGGTTCTGTCAGATCAATTCCTTGTTCTGCAGTGCTTAAACAGCCATAGTGCCTGTGATGAAACACGAAGAAGACTTTTATCTTAACACCATGTTTGTGATGCTTTTCTGTGAAATTGAAAGTAAAGGTAGTAAAGTTTGTGTCTGTGATGTTTGGCTTGCAGTGCTGCTGCAGTAAGAAAACTTGCATTCCACAGCACCAGGTGTGCAGAGTTTAAGTGAAGGTGGTAAATGGTTTGGGAAATAGATTGCATTGTTTTCTGAAAAACTTTACCGCCATGTAGCATGGGCCAAAATGGAATGAGAAAGAATGGGACAAAATTGAACTGGCTTCATTACTCTGCTCCCTTCCCCACTGATAGCTGGTGTGTGGGGCATGCACTGGCACGCTGGTGGTGGTGGAGGGGAGTCCCCATTACCTGTAAAGCGCTTTGAGTGGAGTGTCCAGAAAAGCACTATACTGTATAAGTTAAGGCATTATTATTAAGACCTCCTCTCCTTTTGTAACCCGTCATAATCCTCTAAATTAATTAACTGAGCTCGCAGGCACTGGTGTCCACTAGAACCACGTTGCTAAGAGACCCCAAAACACAGCCAGCACATTCCACTGCAGTCTTAAAAAGCAGCATAAAACATCATCCTCTTAACTGCGTAACTGCGTGGGAGGACAACAGGAAAGTAATGCTGACCCCCAGCGGGTTTCTCAAGAGAACACACTGTGCACGAGTTCCAAAAGACAGAGCTAGGGGACCTGTTCTGAAATGTTTTATTCTAGAACAGTCAAAGGTTTCCAACTGCTTGTCTTTGCGGGAGCCACCCAGAAGAAAGATCTGAGGTTGCCATGGCCTCCGAGGCAGGGAGGGGCAGCTAGCAGCAGGAGGGGTTTGTGTAGAACGTGTGTCCTGAGAGACAGGTCAGGCTGTCTCATGCAGAAGCACTACAGATGACGTCTGATAGACTTGTTTTCGATAGAGCGGACCATAAAGAAAACAAAATGAAAATTTCGGGAGTGCTAGTGTAGTTTTTTGTTCAGGTATTAATGGATCCTCAGGTCTCCAGCTGACTGAAACCAGTTCAACGTTAAATAATAGTGATAATGCTCTGCATTTATGTATAAGATGTTCCATCCAGCCTGTAGCTGGAATTAAAAGCCTTAGCTCTTATATAACATATAAGACTCTCTTATAAGCTCTTATGTAACATATAAAACACAAACCTTTGGTATCAAAGCTATTTATAACACAGGGGAAGTGCATTTAAATGAGAGCAAAGACTTTTTACACACAGTTTGGTGGGAGCGTGGGACAAGGTACCTGGCCTTGATGTTGAATCTCCTGGCATCTGGGTGAGATCAGTGAGTTAGTTTAGGGTCAGATCAATACATCAGTGGCCACCCAACAGACTGGATGGGCAATCTGGACCCCATCTTGTTTGTAACTTTTCTCGTGTTCTTAAAAAGTGCATGTAGCTTCTGTGTTATTTCCTGTTTCTAATGGTAACATGCTGATTGCACAACTGCTGACGGAACATTTCTGCTGGCAAAGACTGGATGTTCCCCCAGGTGGGGGGCTGCACGTCCGTGGTGGTTGAAGTGGGTCCATTTCTCTGTACAGACTGCTCTGGGACAAAACTGTCCGAGACAGGCAGTTGGGCATCACTGCTGCATTTGTTGTCCTTGCTTTCCCTGAATTGAATCGCCTTTCTTTACCGAGCCCATTCCGAGCGTGTGGCTGAAGGCCCTGCCATGGCATTGTGTCAGTTAGTCTTCGCCCTGCCCCTCCCAGGTAACCCCACCGCATGTCCCGGGCGAATCCCCGAGGGGCCGGCCAGGAGAGGTGAAGGGGGCTCCGGGGGCGCGCGCGGGCTCACGCTTCTGCCGTTTCAGGAAAGGACTCCTTCCAAGTGCGGATCACGGCCCTGTCGCCGGCGGAGCACGTCCGGATCCACGTGCCTCAGCCCCTGGACCGCGGCGACGGCTCGTTTCTGACGAGGTTCCGCTTGTACGGAAGCGTCGCTCAGGGGCTGAAGATCGAGGTGCTGCACCGGGATAGGCCAGTGGCCAGGTCGCCCTATGTTTTAAAAGGTAACGCCAGAAGCCCCCCCCTGCCACGCACGTTGCTGTCAGAGCGCAGTAGAATCCTGGGCGTAGTCTCCTTTCAAGTGAAATGTTTGGTGAATTATGTCCCCCCTCTACCCTCGTCTGTAACTGTTGGCCTGACATGGAGAATGGTTTTAGATGCGCAAGCCGGAGTCTCTTCCCTCTTCCCGGTCTCGCTGTAGATGGTGTGATTCGGCTGTGAAGCGCTGTGGTTCGCGTCAGGACTGTGAGAGCCGCTGGAGAGTGTCAGATCCAGTAGGTTGCAGAGCCCTGTACCCGTTGCACACGGGTACTTTTATCAAGAAGCCGAAGCGCGTTTGCCGACCGGCGCGTGCTTTTGTTGAAGGCTGTGCGGGCCAGGTGGTCTCGTTGTAGTTTAAGCCATCTCATTTATTGCTCATTCGGCGCCATGGCGACGCATCCCCCCATGCACAGGGCCGGTGTACCACGAGTACTGCGACTGCCCCGAGGCGGACCCCCGGGCCTGGCAGAGCGCGCTGTCCTGCCCAGCCCAGGACCCCCAGATCTCCAGGGACTTCAGTGCCTTCCCCAGCGTAGACCTGCTGCGGCTGCTGAAGGAGGTGCCCCAGCGCTTCAGCCAGAGAGGGGGCCTCATCCACTACACCGTCCTCGACAACCGAGTCTACCGGCGGACCCTGGGCAAGTACACCGACTTCAAAATGTTCTCGGACGAGATGCTGCTCTCGCTCGCCCGGAAGGTGAGGGAACGCTGGAAACCGAGTACTTCGTCCGCGTGGTGAAAATACTGCTTCCTTTGAGGCCAGAATCGCTTGTGGCTGTGGGTAGCAGCAGCTGCTAAATGTATCTCATTCTAAACATCCATTTTGAAGGGGGATTCTGCCTCTTTGTTCATCCCCGTGCAAGATTAATAATAATAATTGCTTACACTTATATAGCGCTTTTCTGGACACTCCACTCAAAGCGCTTTACAGGTAATGGGGATCCCCTCCACCACCACCAATGTGCAGCCCCACCTGGATGATGCGACGGCAGCCATAGTGCGCCAGAACGCTCACCACACACCAGCTCTCAGTGGGGAGGAGAGCAGAGTAATGAAGCCAATTCATAGAGGGGGATTATTAGGAAGCCATGATTTGTAAGGGCCAATGGGAAATTTGTCCAGGACGCTGCTTTAACAGATTAAGAGCTCTTTGTGTTTACTTTGCAGAAAGTGTGCTTTGAACATGATCAGTCTGTTCAACTTCAAGAGCTTATTGGGGATAAGTGTTTCAATTAGTCATGAATAGTCTTTTCCAGCACATTCACACCACACAAATTGGACGTGAGAGTTTTTGATATGTGTGGTTAATGATGTACTGTATTGCTGGTATTTAGTCATTATTTAGATTCATCGTGTAGGTTTTCATGAATCATTAATTAACTTTTATATAACAATGAGAACACAACAGATGATGAACATTGAGGAGAAATATTCTAAATCTAAACTAAAATCAGTTTTTTCTACTTGCCTGAATCAGTGTTCCTTTGATGGATGTAAAATAATTTCTCTGTTTTTATTACAGAAGGCAAATTTAGGTGACAGGCAGTTAACTTGCCAATACCTTATGAATTAAAAAAAAAAGAAACTAGTGTCAGATGACGGCAAATTTATCAATTTACACCAGTTTTCACAGGTTAAAATTGCAGCCTTTCAGATGTTCTTGTGTGAATAGTTGCTTAATTTTGCTGAAAAATGAAGAACTCCTCTCAAAGTTCTCATCTAACATAAATATTAAACATCTGCCACAGTCAACTTCAAAGTCTTCTTGGGTGAAAAAAACTGATTATTATGGAAATTAAATGATACACCCCCCTGTTAAACATGACTCCCTTCCAGTCCAGAATCTTAAGAGTGGATGATAACCCAGACCAGAGCTCTCTCCGGTATGGTAGAGGCCTGTGCAGTGGAATAACTGCCTTTGCCCTTTATTCCCGGACAAGGTTCGCCTGCCAGATGTGGAGTTCTACATCAACGTGGGAGACTGGCCCATGGAGAACCGGAAGGTGGGGGACACTCCTGGCCCAGTGCCCATTATCTCATGGTGCGGCTCAACAGACACCCGTGACATCATCCTGCCCACCTATGACATCACTCACTCCACCCTGGAGACGATGAGAGGCGTGTCCAATGACCTTCTTTCAGTCCAGGGAAACACAGGTGAAAAACACGAGTCATATGTCATATTGCATACATTCCTTACCTGGCATTTAAGCACTTAATTGTCTATAAAAAGTACGGATAAAAACGGAAACTCAGTAGGCCTTTCACAGTAGGAAACCGCTCCACTGCTAAAAAACCTGTAGATTTGTTTGTGTTTGTGTTTCGCAACTGGAAGCTGTGATACTGGCTGTGTGGGGAGAGTCTGTTGTGCGTGTGGAAACCAGTCGAATGTTCTGTAAAAGAGCAGGTACCCACAGACTCGCCGGCTCGCTCTGTGATGACAGATTGTGTGAGACGGCTGCTGTGGTCCTTCAGGGCCCTCGTGGGGAAACAAGACGGAGCGGGCCTTCTTCCGGGGCAGGGACAGCCGCGAGGAGCGCCTCCTGCTGGCGCAGCTCTCTCGGGAACACCCGCCGCTGCTGGACGCCGGCATCACGGGCTTCTTCTTCTTCCGGGACCGGGAGAAGGAGCTGGGCAAGGCCCCGCTCGTCGGCTTCTTCGACTTCTTCAAGGTGCGCGGCGCGGCCCTGAGCCACCGCCAGCCGAGGCCTCCGGGTCCCCTCGCTGTGCCGAGACCGAGCAAATAGAAACCACTGACGTCTGGCGATACCCCCCCTCGGTCTGCGGCGCGGGAGGGGACGTGTCGTGGGGAGACGCAGCCCCGCAGCGCCTCCTCGGTGCAGGTCATCCTCGGCCTGTTGAGCAGAGGGCGCCCCCTCTGGGGAAGCCGGCCGCCCGCGGGCTGACAGGAGGGCCTCACCACAGGGAGGGGGGCGGGGGCGATCGAACAGTTTCAGCGGGTAGGGGTAGCCGCGGTGCAACGCCGAATCAGCCGACTGGACTCGAGGGCTGTTGCTGGTTGGCGGCTGCGAGGAGCGGAGCTACTGGGCAGCGAAGGGCAGGAGACACACTGCGGCCCTGAGCACTGGCGGGTGGAAGCGCCGGTCGTAATAGAGAGGTTCAAACTGGGAGGAGACCACAAGGCCCGTCTGTCCCGTTTGGATGAGTACGGCTGGAAGTCTTCCCTGGACGAGACTCGAACCCGGGCCCGTGGCGGTGAGAGCAGCGAAGCCTGACCGCTTGGTAGCAGGGATTCTGTCGCCAGGAGGCCTCAAAGCCCTCTGGTGCCTTTACCTTTCTCAGGTGGGCAAACAAAGTGCTTTGTTTATCAACAGACTAATTCCTCCATAGTGATTTTGGTCCCCAGAGCCAGTTTTCTGCCTGGGCTTTTCTCCCCTTAAACCCCTAAACTCCCCTTTTGCTACCTCTCTGCAGCAGCACGCAGCAGAGGCCCGGTTCGGGTCTGACATTGAAGCTGACTAGAGTAGAGGATGTGTGTGAGCTGCTGTCTGCTGTCCTTCCCTGCAGTACAAGTACCAGGTGAATGTGGACGGGACCGTGGCTGCTTACAGGTTCCCCTACCTCATGCTGGGAAACAGCCTGGTGCTGAAGCAGGACTCGCCCTACTACGAGCACTTCTACACACACCTGGCGCCCGGGAAGCACTACGCTCCAGTGAGGAGGAACCTCTCCGACCTCATCGACAAGATCAAGTGGGCCAAGGTGAGCGGTGTTATTGCACATACTGACGTTAGAACTTTACACTTGTGTGTGTGTGTGTGTGATGAGTTGTGCTAGTTTTTAATCTGAAGAAATCTTAAAAGTGAGAGTTGGCTGCCTTCTGCTCACTGCCTGTGGATGTGAGAGTCAAGCACAGTTCCACATGATAGCAGGCCATCGATTAACACAGTAGCTAATTAATCGAAGGATCTCACCCAGTCGTTTCTTGGAAGAAGCCACCCGGGTTATCGCCTTCTTTCTTCTCCAGGGTATCTTGGACACCTAGCCTGCTTTGAAAATGAGGACAGTTGCCCAAATGACATTCATGAATGCTGTTTTGTCAGCAAGGAGCTGGATAGTGCACTAGAAAGTAAAATACTCAGTTGTTAGGTTTGTTTTGACTTGTTAAAACCCCTGTGACGGCCGTGTGTTGTGACTTGTGAAGTGGCTTTGTTTCCTCTGTGCTCAGGAGAACGACGCTGAAGCAGAGAAGATTGCCAGAGCAGGACAGCTGCTGGCCAGGGATCTCCTCCAGCCCAGCAGGCTGTACTGCTACTATTACGCGGTGCTCCAGGTACCTGCGCCGCTCCTCCTGGGGGTTTGGCAGCGCGAGCGTGCGAGTTATCAGTGGCTCAGGTGGTTAGGCGCAGCAGCGGATCACAAAGTGTACCAGATTTTCAAGGTGGTGTTGTTTTTTTAATTACAGAACACATTTTGTGAGTGCAAGATGGAAATTGTCCAATGGCAATTATACGCTTTGAAATTAAGTCTTGCTAGTAGATTTAAAAATGAAATAATAAATGTAAAAGCGACGAATCCCTCTGCATTCAGTTGCATGAAAGCTAAACACTCTTAAGTTAATTGGGAAACTTGTCACAGGTGTCTGTCTCTCCAGAGCATAGTACATGGTTTGCAGGTCCTCTTTCTGATGTTTCAAAAGTGGGGCTAAAAATGAAGAAGCTGCTTAAACACTCATCTTTATTTTACTTCACTACGGACCTGACTGTTCACAGCTCTAAATGCTCTGTGATAAAGATCAAAATCGGATTCCTGCTTTATCTCCCCGGCTTCGATTTCCAGGAATACGCCGGACGCCAGCTGAGCAAGCCTGCGGTCCGGGACGGAATGGAGCATGTTCCCCAGCCGAGCGACCACGAGGCCTTCTGCAGCTGCCACAGGAGCGGGCAGGGGAGAGAGGAGCTGTGACAGGGCTCCCCTGCCCGCAGGCCTGCTGGGCTGTTGCCCGGGATTGTGGGATGCAGACATCACTCGCTGGGTAAACTGGACCTCTGTGGCGTTGCTAGAGTGCTCAAAAATCCAACTGCTGTGCTCTTATATTCTCCCCTTTCAATCTCGCCTGGACTGACCTCGAATCTGAGTGGGGGGCCACAGGAGAGAAAGAAAGGGGTTTTCTTGTTTCCCAGTGGACTCCACTACAAATGTGCCAGAATGTAGCTATTACTGCAAGTCATCTGATACAGACATGTTTACTCCACTCTTTTGGTTCATTTAAATACCTTGTCTCACTCAGTAAAATTGTGGGTACACTTGATCTTAGCAGATGTGTTCTGTTAAAATCAAACGCAACTAAGGACTATGGTTAAACTTGAAATATTATGTAGAATAGTAAATAATGCAATCATTTTGGTAACTAACTTAGAATGTAAACCATGAAGCATTGTCCCAAGTGTTGTAGGGAGGCATGTGTGTAATTTATCGAATGTTAAGTTTTAGTGACAGCTGCTGTGAGATTATGATGATGTCATTCAAGCTGCAGTGCATGCCTGAAATTGAAATGTTGCAACCTCAGCCTCATTTCTGACCTTTCAAGTGCAATCCGATATTATGCTCTTTCACAAGACGCAAGCAGTCTCTTTTGTAGGCCTTCGTATGAAGACAAAACATCTAGAAATGCAGCCCTCTGTTCTGCCTTCTGGTTCCCACCCCTAGAGATCTGGAGAGATCTCACTGAGCTGGGCCACAGAGCACAGCACAGCAGCAGGCTTGTGATGTGTTGCAAGACTTAGCTGTACTTCCAAAGCCAAGGAGTCTGACTACACAGGGGACGAGCTGCTGATCATGAAATTGCAATCACCTTTTCAGAGGGTTTCAAGTGCCATCTTTGGGTGCCTTTAGTTCAGTGAACACTGGCCCATCTCCTTGTCCAAAGCTGCTCTGTCACTGCAGCATCTCTCCGTCCTACGCAGTAAGGAAGGGAATACTCATGACTCGTTCCAGTTGCCCTTGGCTCTTCGGAAAAATCTGACACACCCAAGTGATGTTTAGAGGTGAAATCAAATGCATTCCGTACGTCTTATTCATGCAACAAATTAATTCTTTTTCTCTCTTTTGAACTTCTCTGTGACCGCCTTCCAGTTGTACCTTACAAAAAGAGGTGCTGCAGTTTTCAAAGACACGTGGTTTTCACAATGTTTACATATCGTTTTTTGATAAGATATTTACATTCCTGGGTCACGTCTTTATCATTACGAGTGAATTTTTAAAATACGTTTGTATTTTTAACATTTATACAAGTCCTATATCTTTTATTTTTTAAAATATTTATTTCACAATAGTTTTGATTAGTGTTGAAATAAAAATGTAACGTTTTACATCACGCAGAACTGTGTCGGTTTTCTTTCAATATTACCCTCTCTCCTCAGTTGAAAACTTTAAAATTCAGATTGCTTCATACGATAAAAATAGACAACTATTTTAATTTCTTTCAATCAATATACTTAGAAATAGAATCTTTTGAAGGTCATTTTTCCTTCTCTTAGCTGATTTTCCAGCGGTTATAAAAATGTTCTGTTTTTCCTCATATTAAAATATTTTTGAATGACAGGCCGGACACCGTAAGCAAAGATACAAAAACGGTTAAAAAACTGCTGCTTTTAATACCCTAAGAGGTGGATATCTCGTGTTCCCCTCTAAATAAAACAATACTTTGTTATAAATCGCCTACTCTGGAAGACGTCGCAGCTTCGCTACAGCCGGACAGATAAACGTCACCGTGGCGTAATTTCCGTTCCGTTGCTGTGGAAACTGCACGCCGAGGTCGCCAAGACGCAGGTAAGGGGGAGAGAGCGCGGAGGTAAATAGTTCCGAGTTTATATAATCACCTTTAGCTTCGTTTCTTAGGATAGCCCTATCCTTTTATATAGTTTTTTTTAAGAAGCAGACTTCTGGAAACGTGGTATATTTAGAATATCGATCTCATCGGTTAGAGTACGAAACTCTGTGATTGAAGGAATGAAGAGAGAAATATGTTCTGTGAGCCCAGTCAGCAGTTAAAGCGCGGACACGCCAGACGTCTAGAAGAACAGTCAAAAGTTAACCTCGAATAAATCAAAATAGAGTAACGATTCTCCCGGGTGTGCTTATTTACTGGGCCGTACTAATCCTGCACATCACTTTGCGGCGCACACAGACGCAGTAGGCCTCGTATCACCTGAAGGGTTCGTGTCGCTTGTAAGACACGCCGTCTGGGCTTCCAGGGCAGGTGGTTTCTGCATCTGGGCGTGTTATGAGTGGCACGTTTACACGCGTGGCTTAATGTTTCCCACTGCTTGAATGGGATTTTGCCTTAGGCGAATGAGACCGATATTGCTGTGATCGTCTGTGGTACTTCGAACCTTTTAATTTATTTTTATTTATTTTATTTTTAAGCCTTTCTTTTGAAGCGGTTTCTCCTCAGTTGGTCTGGTGATTAATCGTGCCGGTTTATTCTTTTATCTCAGGGGGCAAGTATCTCGGTTGCGGGATTTCTTTCAGGAAAGGAGACACCTGCCTTGATTAACCTCAGGGCAGTTAGGGAGTTACTCCCAGAGCACGTGTGGGACTGCAGCAGGAAGGCGGTGCTCTGCAGGGGAAAAGGGACTTTTATCAATAGAGGGACGCTTTGGAACAGGTTTAATCCTGATCGCCAGATGGGTGGCTTAGATTCGCATAGCATGTATGTACAGAAGGAAAGACTGTACAGTGCAGTGCCTTATTTGGTATAAAAGCAAACTTAGGGTGTTCCCAGTCTTGTGACACATGAAAGAATGCCCCTGAGGCCCATAGAGGGATGTTTCTTCTATATAAGGAGGTCCTCCAGGTTTGTTCACACTTCAGCAAGCGCTAACGACATCAGTAACGCCGGCCCAGGTCCGAAAGATCAGCATCCGCTTAATTTATCCGGGGGGTGAACTATAAACGAAAATGTTATTCCAAGAGGGGAAGGGTGGTCTCAGAGTCAGGAGGAAGAGAGATGCTGAGGTCAGCAGAGCGCAGAAGAGGAGCGAGTGGAAGAAATCAAGCCAGACCCAGGCTGAGTTAAGGATGAAGGGAGAGCGTCCAGACGGAGATGCGGGCAGAGGTCTGGGAGGACTCGTGGGAAGAGGGTTTGACCTTCAAATGGGCCGCTGGGCCACGGTGGCTGGGGAGAGAGCAAGCCGAGCCAGGAGACAGGTGCGCGGCCGTGTGCAAGCAGGAGGTGTGAGCAGCATTAGAGACTGCGAGGTCAGGCAGGGCTGGCAGGAAGACGGAGTGACCCGCAGTGTCAGAGGCAGCGGAGCGATGAAGAAGGATTAGCACAGAGGGGAGGGAGGCGAAGGGCGTTAGAGAGCGAAGCAGTTTCGGCCGAGCAGCAAGCACTGGGAGTGGGCAGCGCCCCCTACTCTCCCACACCTGGGAGGACCGCCAAAGAGCCGAGCGGTGTTGACATGGAAACAGGATCGGGAAGGAGATCATGGAGCTTGGGAGAGGTGATTCGGGAAGGGATCCTGAATAGTGAAAAAGTTAAGAGTGTGCGGATCTCTGAGGTTTTGACGGAGAAACGTAGTCTTCAGGTGAGGAGAGGAAGGATTGGGAGGAGAGCTGAGAAGGAGGGTTTGGCCAGAGGCATGTGCTGAATACAAGGATGGGGAAGAGCAACAAGGATCCTAGACTAGGGATGATTGAGATCTCATCCATTTTTTTTCTGCGGAGTACAGGGAGCTGGTGAAGGAGAAAGACGATGAAGCAGTGATCAGAGCAGTCCAACGGGTGACACAGAGGTTGAGGGGAAAGTCAATGGAGAAGATCAGAGCCAGCTGACAGACATCTTCATGAGTCTGTGTAGGTAGAGGAAGGGAAGGGATGTTAGAAGTGACCAGAAGAGAAAATATCCCTGCTGAGGAGTCGCAATGGAAAAGGTGAATGGAAGAGGGGAGTCAACTTCATCACAAAAATGAGTAAGAGGACCAGTGGTGTGATGGAGAACAGTGATAAGAATAAAAGAGAAGAGGATTTTACTTTTGACAGCTTGAAACTATAAGACAGTAACAGAGAGAAAAGAAAAAGAGGACATGATGGAGAAGGGCTAGGAGCGAGAGACTAGCTGTCCCATACCACCAACCGATCCAAGGAGATTAAGGGATGCTGTGTAAATTTCCATTCATGCTCCTCATTCCGCATATCACACCAGCTTTTGTTTGTAGATTAGTATTTTGCACACGGACAGCTTTGACGTGCTGCGCAGCGTTTTCCCCTGAGCTTCTTCTGGTTTCCAAATTGAACGTTTCATGGCGAAATCTTCTGCCATTATAAGGACCAATGGGGTTATGAGATAAAAAAACACCGATATTCTTATTACATCTGAGCCCTGCTAAAACAGAGCTGTGATGGCAAAATCAAGGAATATTCACAGGGAGGAGTCTTACAGAAGGAGCCATAGCTATTAAAAAATAAAATAAAAAAATATGAGCATATGGCATGGTTAGTGTTAATGCAGTGTGATCACAGATCACAAAGTGATTATGCTGTTAGAATTATGTTTGCATCCACGCCTAATTCTTGCCCCATGTTCCGAGCTGACATGATCACTTTCAGTTTCACCACTGCTGATGTGCAGTTTCCATTAGGGCCCAGCACTACAAGTACAAAGTGCCACTGAAAGTCTCCTGGCAAGTTACAGACAGAGCTGGCGCAGCAGCACAGAGGCAGGCCTGACAGTCCAGCAGTGCAAGACAGTGCTTCTGAGGCTGCCTGCTTCTGGGTATGGGCCTCCCATCATGCTCTGAAAGAGCCCTATATCGAGTCTTGCACTCGTCCATCCAAGGAAGTCCAAAATGTTCTGTCATTCTTTCTGTGTACTGTGTTCTCTATAAAGTAGGTATGTGCAGCAATATTAAGCTCTTAAAAAATTGTATTGTAAATACAGTATTAAAGATTGCTATGATTGTGCTTTAACTGCAAAAGACCATGTTTAGTCATGATGTGGCTTAACCGGTATTGTGCCCATAGAGGAGGAGGATTATGGGTCATTATAAAAGAATTACATTGAACTTATTTTACTGTGAAGGAGAGTACAAAATATTCCTCTCAGCTAGGCATTAATCAACCTCGACTCCGAAACATCTGTAAAAAGGATTTCCAGCTGTTTCAATAGCTTCCTCCTGGTCATGGTAAAAGCTGGGTCTAGTCAATAGTTCTGTATCTTGCACTCAAGCCACATGGAAATTCAACCAATCGTTAATCCACAATAGCAAGTACCTAAATGCTCTTAGCCCTCTGTTCCATCCCATACAAAGGCACTTAGGATACTGTTCTATCAGACCTGAACCAACATGTTCCTTATGCCATGGGTGCATTCAGTTTATTCATCCTTAAAGCTGTCACAGAGAGAACAGCTGCAGAAAATTAAAAGGTGAATGCATATTTTCCTTCAATACCGCTTGCATTGTAAAAGCTTTTTACACAAATAATGTGTGCCTGACAAATCAGATAAGGAGAAGAAAATTAAAGAGAGGACTAAGCTAAATTCCTCTCTGCCTAAGTAGCTGCCATATAACATGACCCTGTGACCTCTATTGCAAACAAATAATGTAAGAGGACAGTCAGGTAAGAGTTACATTCTATTGTATGTAACCTATTTTGGTCCTTTCAGGCAGGGAAAGTGTCCATTGACTCAGAAATGACAAGAACATGTTTACATCAGTCAGTCTTTTAAAATTGCCTTCCAGAATCTTTATAAATCAAAACTGGAAGAAGATACCTGACCAGGAAAAACTTCCTGGAAATCAGTAATAGGATGTTCTTCCTGTGTCATGCAAAGTCAAACCAGACATTCCCTTTTTTCACAGCTCAACTATCGAACTTTATAGTCTAACTAAATATGATGTGGCAGGGCATGTTGTGGGTGTTGTCTGCACAGCAATTTCTTTCACCTCTCAGATAACAATTTGAATTTTAGAAGAAAGTTTGATATTCAAATCACTCTTTATTCACAAAGCTGTTTGACAGGTCAGTGAAGCTGTGGAGCCAGCATTTCTGTTTGTTTATCTGCCTTGAAGAGGGAGAGATGGTTTACATGTTGCTATAAGCTATTTAAAGGAATGCTAGGCATTCATCTTTTATTTCAAATGCTCCCACTGTTTGTACAATAGCTCAAGAACAGCTATTTTGCCATGTCATGCAACACACTGCCAGGCTGTGGAATGCCAAGTTATCCCAGACTTTTTACTTCGGAGCCACTTAAAATAGCAGTTTCCCAAAATGAATGCTGTTTCTGTTTAACTTTCAGTGGACAAATGGCATAACAGTTCAGAAGTTATTATTTATTAGGGCATAAAGTGATCTTTCTTATGGTGAAAAATGTGGAATAACACACCTCTGAGTTACAGAGGTGTTCGAAACTCTTCAGAAACAAGCTACCTTATTCTTGTATAACACACCTAAGTGCTAGATTTCTTTTTCTTTTTTTTCAGCTGATCTCCAGGTTTTCAATACTTCATGATAGATACTTTATTTATCCCGTGTGGGAAATTGCAGTGCAACAGCAACAGTCAACACAGCACAGTGTAACGAAATGATACAATAAGACAACAATACAATACATACAATATAGTCAGTATAGTCAGTGAAAAGTGCAGTAAAAGTAAAAAAAAATATTATACAGAATTGCTCACAGTACATAATATCCAAAAACAGATGTGAAAGTACAGTACACAAAAAGTTGTATTGCACATTATAAATAGAGAATGGGAACGATGTAGAATAGCTTTCTTCCTGTAAAGACTTCACTTTGAGACAAATTTTATTGCATTTGTCATTCTGTGTACTTGGTCCAACCAAGCCCAGGTCTCGGGACCACATGGGCTTTCCTGTTGGTCCTAATGAGATAATTGCTTTTTTGGACCAATGAAACATTTTTGACCAAAGCAGTCCAGTGTCTGTTCCTGGCTCTGAAGCAGGTGTTGATTTGAAGAGACCTCTATGCCCTGCAGGAGCTGACCATTGCTGTTCTATACAACACAGTTTAGCCCATAGCAGCATCACCTCCAAACTTCCAGGGCCAGAACCCAGCGGCTGTTCTAGGTCTCTTGACAACTGTGAGAATGTTCCTGTTAAGCTAATAATCCAATCACATAGGTGATAAAGAACAGAGGAAAGATGAAGACCTGCAGGGATGAAGACTATGAAGATATTTCTTTGTAAGGTGTTGCTTAATATGTCTGCTAATATTATATTGCTACAAAGGAAAAAAATCACTTTATCCATAAATAATTATAGAAGAAAGGTTTATAAGTAAATAATTTAAGCAGTAAGGTCAGATCTTAGAAAGCATGAGCATTCTCTTCATGGGCAGAAGGGAAAAAAATGAATGCCTTTACTGGAAAATCTATATTTTAAGAAGTATACAGCCTGCCTTCTGTAGCAGTTGAACAAGCTTGGAGAGAAAGTGGCATACCTTCGGTATTCAGTGCTTTAGCTTTCTTTCCTGAGGCAAAATGTACAAAATTCTGTGCATTTCAGGGCGTGCTAAAATATAATTAAAACTTTAAACGAATTTCGTAATCTTTACAGAAAGCATTAAATTGTTTCTAAGCTGAAAGATATTGTTTGTCTGAATAATGTGTTAACTCTGCCGTCTCTTTTTATATTAGCTGTGCTGTTCCCATTATTATAAAATGTTGGCGACATGTCTACAAACTGCCTAAAGCATTGTTCTCAACATAAATAAGACTTTTACCTGCCATTAGAGCGTCATTATCTTCAGGATCACACCTGGTGATGACAGATGGGCATAGGCCCCAGATGATGAGACTTCCGCCCTCAGGTCTTTAAACCTGGGTTGTTTGCACTACCGTCAAAACACAACCACACATTTCATTTAATGGTCAAGTTTATAATTATTTCTCTTAGAGGGCAGCTTGAAAATAACGACCCTTCCACTCCAGTAGGACTGTGTAAAGCGCTGGCACTGTGTCACAATCCCAGCTCTTAGGCTCATGGGCCAGGAGTATGCCAATTGGCCTTTTTCCTGAATCTAGGTGGCTTGTCTTGCAGGGCTCCAGATGTGGCAGGAACATCGATGGAGAGACATCCTGCCGATGACGAGACCTGGGGTCCTCCTGGCAGTGATCAGGAGCAGTCTTTACCTCACAAGCAAAACCAAGCTGCGCGGGTCATACAGAGAGCGTGGCGAAGGCACATCGTAAGCCCAGGGATCACTGGACCTCACGAGGGGTGTCTCCACTGCCTGCACACTGTGTGGAACTGTACACCCATCTGATTGTCACAAAACCACGGAACCTTTAATATAAATCATTTGTTGACTGGTGATATAGAGGTTTTCTCCAAACACTAATGCTCCATGTCTTTAGTGCAAAACACAGATGTCTCCTGTATCTGACAGGCTTTTTAAATGCTCGTGCCATTTCAAATAGATGCGTGAAAATCTCGTTTATTGCCTGTTCCTGCTGAGCAGGCAGGGACTTGTTCTGTGAGACCTACGCATGTGAACTTTAATAACAGATCCATTCAAATAAAGAATACAGGTAATTAACTCAATCATTACACAGATCTGAAGACTGTAGTGTAAATATGAATCCTGCCTTTACATGAAAGCCCTTTTCAAGTCAGGAGCTTACAGGTTGTTTAATTTCACAGCTCACCTTTTCATATTCTCGAGATTGGAAGCTGCCCCTCATGTGCAATGCCCAGGCTGACCCCTCAACTCCCTCTCTGTCTATAGGACACCCACGTGTTCAAGTACTACAAGGACCTAATCAGCTTTAGAAAAAAGGGGGACCCACGTCTGCTGCTCAGATATGTCAATCCAAAAGAAGTGAGTAAACCAATATGTTTGAAACATTAATTTTACATGTCTCAATTTGCATTTAAAATAAAACAGTAGGATTGTCTGGATTTGTCTGGTGACTTTACACCACGTTTTAGATGCGGCGTGCTCCAAAATGACACAGAATGCTGTTTTCACTGCTTGATTCTGTACTCAATTTTAGGCAGATTTGCTTGATGCTGCTGCTGGGGTTCACATTAGATTTCGGCTTGGTGGTGTAAGTACAGTAATATTGCACCCATTTTTGTGCATTTGTACACTACTTAAAAAAAGTAAAAATATCTAAATGTGAAGTTTTCAGTTAATTGAAGTGAAATATTTAATGTGGCATTGTTTTCATTCTCCCTAATCCATTTGCAAACTGTTATAATACATCTTAATTGAATATAATATACAGTACATCCTAGATTCCTGTACTGTCTTAGGAAACAGTAATAACACAGTAAGGGTGACCTCTAGTGGTAGACAAAGGGATAGCTCTACCCTGGAATCTGGGGAGAGAATAATAATAAAAATTACTTACACTGGGGTAACACCCCTACTCTTTTTTAGACAATTTTTAATGACCACAGAGAGTCAGGACCTCGGTTTTACATCTGAACTGAAGGACAGCACCTTTTAACAGTATAGTGTCCCCATCACTATACTGGGGCATTAGGACCCACACAGACTGCAGGGTGAGCGCCCCCTTCTGGCCCCACTAACACCTCTTCCAGCAGCAACCTTAGCTTTCCCAGGAGTCTCCCATCCAGGTACTGGCCAGGCTCACACTGCTGAGCTCCTGTGAGCTGCCAGTGGTGAGTTGCAGGGTGATATGGCTGCTGGCCAAGTCACAACCAGTTTCTGACCATTATAACAGCACACTTAGAACTCCTTGTCTATAAAAATAAAATGTTTGCTTTAGTCTTTATTTGTGGCAAGGTTTCACTGTGACCTCTAACAGTTCGACCCCTCACACTTTCAGATGAATGCAAAACGTGGGGTTGCTGTTCTTTTGTGTTCAGGATTCGTTTTTTCCCCCCCTTTTCAGACAAAATTTCCTCCAAGCATCTACTACAAGATATTCACGCACCGCCCGATAGTGGACATGTGCGCCAACAGCCCCAAGGACTACACCTGCCCCGCAGCCAGGCGGCCCCTGCCGGGGCAAATCCACAACCGCGGGCGGGCTGCGGGGCAGGAGGACCGCTCGGGCTGGTACCGGCGGGAGGAGAACAACGGCTGGAGGCTCCTCTCGGGCAAGGTGCGGCAGGGCCCTCCCGCGGGGCCGCACTGCTGAGCCAGGCCTGCGGGGGGCGCTCTCCCCCTGCGCCTGCGTCCACCCGGCCACGCGCCCGCTCACGGGCCGTTCAGAGACCAGAGCACCTGGCGGACATGTAAACCACACCCAAGGGGCCAAAATTCATCCCTGAACTCAAGAACCCCTCTTCTCTTCGTATTAGTCTGCTAGAGTGCGCTACATCATGGTCCTCATTAGTGTGATTACTGAATTTGCACTTTGTATAGATCCAGGCACATATTTGTCCACTGCATGGGACATGACATTCTCGGCAAAAACAAGAATAACAGAATCTGGAAATACTCAGAGCAGGTCCTATTATTGTATACACTTGCAAAGGAATAACCCCTTTTTTTCTGTGAAGTTCCGACCACTTATTAATCCCTTCGATCGATTTTGGTTTTTTGCTTGTTTCTTTGTTCAAAAATGAAGTTGCGTTATGTAACTTATTTCCTTTTTCACGAAGGTGTGATACGCTGCTCTTGTGTTTCTGTCCGTTGCTGTTATAAGATTTGGTTAATGGGCGACCCCGTAACACTGGACTCTGCCGCGAAGAAAACGGAATTCCATTACTCCAGGATCCAGAGGCGCCAGGAAGTAGGGAGAAGGAGGAAGCAGAGGAAAATTGACTGGATGAAAAAGATGTGAGTTTATTATTGACTAGGTAAAATTCAGGGGGTGAGTTTTATTACTCCCCAGGTGCCAGGAGTAAACCTTGCCGTGGCTCCACATAAACATTCTAGAGGTTTGAGAAATTGCCCTGCATTAGCAGAAGGCGCTGCTGGCTGATGAGTGGCATCTGTGTGCACTGCCCAGGTATGAAGACGGCCTCCTGCAGGCCCGCACAGAGGACCCTGACGCGGCTCTGCTCGTGGACAAGGCCGCAGAGGGCATGATGGCGGCGGTGGATCAGCTGGGGCCCAGCCACGTGCTGGAGTGGGAAGTGGACGAGCTGCTGGAGTGGACCAACTCCCTCAACTTCGAAGAGTGAGTCGCCGCCGTGCAGACGCACAGGCCCGCCTCCCTGGCGGTCAGGTCAGCCGTATTGTCAAGTGTCCTGCCCTCGTGTGCTGCCACAGAAGGTCCTGGTACATGTCAGTCAAAATGCCAGTTTAGTGCTGCAATTACATGAATATATCAAATCAAGTCAGTTCCAAGTCCCACCCCTTTTCCCAATTTGAACACAAGAAACTCTCTTGCTGTACGGATTTGAAGCATATCAAACAGCTCTCCTGCGTCGCTTGATTAAATATAATTATATTATGATATAATTATAATTATATAATAATTATGATATATAAATCTATTATATATATTTCAAACATGCTCTATGCGAACCACCTTTGCCTTTCTCTCTACATCTCTGTCTCCTTTTCTTTCTCTGTCATATACACACAATCGACTTTCAGTAGAAACGTCTTGCTCTTTTGAACACTTAGAGTTAAACATGGACCACATGTTTTGGAATACCTGCTGAAAAGCAGCAGTAGAATGTACAGTATTTATAAATGCAATGGAAGTGTTGTACTAAATTAATGAGACCCATGGGAAAAACTTTGCTCTTAGTTTAGTCTTCTTTTCTGTATTTCAGGTACATGAATGGATGGAAGGAAACAGCAATGAGTGGTTTTTCAGAGTCCTATAAAGGTAAAATAAGAGAACTTATGATGAAGAAGATTACTGGAGAAAAATACCCGTGTGCACTGACACACACAATGATAGACATGAAAAACACACATTCCTGATAACATACTTCTGAGTTTTAGATAGTGTAGAATAAAGTTTACCAGATTTGAAATTACCTGTCTTTCTCCTTTTTGTGATTAAACATTTGGAAGGATTACTACACTGGTGGTTGTCTCCCATGCTGGAAACTAGTTGTTAAACATTATTTTTATATGATTGTTGTATGATCATTTGACCATTATTGTGTTTTACAAACACAAGACTTTGGAAAGCTATCATTTGGGAGTTCAGTTTCTTCTCGTTCAAAACTATTTCTGTTCTTTTCAAGTCATAATTTTTTAATGTTTGAAGACCAAATATTGAACTCAAACACTTTCTTTCTATAACAACAATTTATAGTTTTAATTAATTTAGAAAACTGAAGATTTAGAACTTTAGAAAACTGATGTGATACAATGAGAAGAAAGCAGACTGCAGACTGAATTCAGTGTCTAGTACTCTGTATAAGTACTGTAGTTAAAATTAAAGTCCATCCCAGAGACACATCAGCTCCTCGGGATAAAGTTCATCCTGGTTTCTGCAGCATTAAGCAGACTAGCGAGCATGTGACTCCCCTTGCAGGGGATGCCAGTCCATCACAGGGAGCGTCCTGCATGCTGCTCCCCACATAATACATGTTGGACTGAATAATACATAATAAATTGAGTTGGACTGAAGCAGCCGGGGTAAAGAACCTCTATCTGGGGCAGGGGCTGAGTCCGGGGGGTAACCCACTACGATTTGCCACCCCTGTCAAATTCAAAAGAAATACTTTAAATAAATCACTTGTCAGAGCTGCGGTGAGAAAGCTCTGCTTTGTAGTTGAAACCACATGGAGTTCTAAGCAAAAGACATTTTCCGTGCAGGACTGCGTGGGAGTTGCTATGTTATGCTGTGTTACAGCCCTTTCTGCTGCCAGCGCTTTGACACGGTGGCCTGTCTCTGTTACAGGTTCGAGGCTCGTCGTCTCCCAGCACGACCAGTGCGAGTTCACGCGGTTCTCCCGGGAGGGCAGTCAGGCAGCCGCCGACTGCAGCGCCCTCACCTGTCACGTCTCCAGCCAGTACCAGTCTTACAGCACCCCCCTGCTCTCCAGGGCTAGCATGGCAGAGCACGGCTCCCACAGCAGACAGATAAAGCAGCTGCCACTTTAGACAGACAGGAGTAGAGTGTCCAGTGTGCACCGAAGTACAGCGCTCTCCCGTTAGGAGGCCATGACAGCTTTCCCCTGCTTACTCATGTTTCGGTTCGTGCCAGAAAACTGATGGTGTTCTGATGGTGAAAACTGAAGGGCTCTGGCTCTTCATCAGGGTAAATATTTAACGTGATTAATCTGTTCCTTCAGGGTACTATTTTCAACAAGATATATCAATGGTAACGAAGGTCTGAAAATGTAGTACACGTTCATATGACCTGTCCCCGTTTTAAATGAAAATTATTTTCCCCCATGTTTGAATTCTCAATATTTTACACGCGTTGCCCCAAGACACTGTCATTTTCCATGCTGATTCCTAATAAAGCTGTATGTGGAGCTTTATTGTGTCTTATGTCTGTGGATCCTCTGTTTCACTGAGGCCGGCTGACTCTAGGGTCTGTTTCTCAGTAAACTAGACCTACATCAAGGCATCAGCAGTCTGCAGCCTGCTCCCTGGCACCTCCAGAATGAGTAAGAACTGGGAACACCCCTGTGCTCTGTGCTGGATGCTGAGATGTGTCAAATGTATGAGTCAGTGCTAGTATTATATGGGTGTCGTCCTAAACTAGAATAAAAAACTGGATTGACAGTACACAGTTGTGTTTATACAGGTTCATGTAAAACCAAAAAAGCACTTCAATTATGATCCCTTCTATTTTAATAATAATAATAATAATAATAATGTAAAAAGATGGTGTTTTTGAATTTTACACAAAAAAAAGAGGGGGCACCCGGATTTGAACCGGGGACCTCTTGATCTGCAGTCAAATGCTCTACCACTGAGCTATACCCCCTGTCTGCGAAACGCCTGCCGATGGCCTATACAAATCAACTAAGTGTATCGCCGTTTTCTAATGTAATTTTAAAAATTGTAATATTAGAACTATGTGTTGCCCGCAAGTACTTAATAAAAGCAAAGTTAAACTTAATTGTTTCTAAGCTGATAGATGAAGATTTCTATCTTCGTTTCGGACTTTTCAGAGCTGCCATCAGCGGAAGCATCGTCATTTGTCACGTGTGAGGAGTAACGGTGAGCCGGAAGTACTCGGTGTGGGGTCATTAGGAAGAAAGAAGCCGCCGGATCAGTATGGTGAGATGAGTTTTTATTTAAAAATCTCTTGTTATAGGGAACGTGTGATTTACATGCTGCTCTTAAGCCAAGATACTTTTAACGGATTTTGTCAGCGTTACACTGAAGCTGACGTGATTGTACAAGAGGTTCATTTAGCTGAGTTTTGATTAGTCACTGCTCTCCGCGAGTTCAGTTGTTCACGTCAAAATATGTCTCGGGCCTTGTTTATTCCCGTGCGTTGCTGAATTAACAGGCACTAATGTGGTATCTACTCATCAGTCTTAAAGATTTGTTGGTTACCAACGTGACAATCAAGCGTACTTTGTGAATACACGGAGCGACGCGAAACTGAAAGTGCTCTGGTCCTGATTTGCAGTATCATTGCTCTTGGGACACTGGTTATCCGACTGTCGCGGTAAAATGCCCAAATCCTGTCGGTGATCTTGACTCCCTGCAGGAGTCACTTTAACCCTGGGGTCGCTCTGGAGTGGTGAGGTTACTGTCCATCACCCGGGCGGGTGAACTGAGTCCTCTCATTCCTACACAACAAGTACATGGGATGAATAGGGTCATTGTTCATCATTACTGTCACATCACAGGCTTTCACACTGGGAGAGTTCTGGACAGGTATATAAATTCAAGGATTTATTAATAATTGGATTTGGGGTGAAATGCATTGCTTACACACCTGAGCGGTCTCTGAGATTCTCCATTTGAGAACCATTGTGATCAAGGTCAGTCTGCGGTTGATCTTTTAACGGGCGATGTCGTGTTGTGGGACAGTAGACTAAGCTGCCCCACAGTTCTTTGACAGTCCCTGCCAAGCGCTGCTCATGGGGGCACTGCTGTATTTCAGAATACTAGAGGTCTTCGATCACAGCTGAAGGACAGCATCCCCGTCACAGGGCTGTGTCCGCAGTCGGGAACCTATGGCGTACCTGACACACTGCGCAAGGGGTGAGTGACCGCTCCGTATCTCACTCGCGGTCTGGATCTTCGTGGTTCCTCTCTCAGACTCAGACCGACATGTCCCTTCCTTCCCATCGCTGGATTTGACTTCTTCATGCACGGGAAATACATTCTTGCTTGTTCTTTTTAAAATGAAACCCATCCCATCATGGTCTGAAGAAAGAGCCTGTTGACTGCCCCACGAGTCGTTAATTGTGACTGCAGCTTTACAGGATAAAAATGTGAGCTGTTTCTTATGGCGTAGAATCAGTACTTCATTTATTTTTGAGGAGGAACTTTAATTAATTGGATTACGTCATTACAGAGCTAGGCCATAACATGTATGAATAAACTAGAAGTTGCAACGGTGTTTTTAGCAAATAGATTTTGATAGAGTCTGAAGTTTTCCGTCCTTGTCACTGGCTTTCAGCTTCTCCAGCGTGAAGAACGAACTCCTGCCCTCCCACCCCCTGGAGCTCTCCGAGAAGAACGTAAGTGTTTCAGCTGGTATGTGCACTGGTAACCGAGAAGTTTTACATTTAAGCACCATTTTACTGAAGTTGATTCTTAAAGTGGATGGCAGACCGATAATATAAAATATATATAATCATATTTTGTCAGCTTTACAATCCTGATTTAGCCCTTGGTGCTTTTCCTAAAATAGCCATAGTTCCCGTGTCTTTCGGGTTGTCATGTTGTAATAAACTACAGCTCTATGAAGTGCTACTATGTCAGACATTGCATTTAACATCGCTGCTTCGTTTCTGCTAGTTTCAGCTCAATCAAGACAAGATGAACTTTGCCACGCTCAGGAACATTCAGGGACTTCATGCACCTCTGAAACTGCAGATGGAGTACAAGGCAGCAAAACAGGTACCCTCTCACCAGCTGTCTTGAAAGGGGGTATGTTTTAGAACACATATGTTTAAGAAGCTCAGTCCAAAATTCACTTGGTTAAGTTAATAACCATACTAAAGGTGAACATCAGAATCTGCCTTTGCAAAATGTCATCCTTTGAAGTCAAGTGGAGATTAGTGATAAATGTTCAAAATGACATTATGCTTTTTTTTCTGTCACACTTTCAAAAGCTGTTTGTATCTATTGTACCCATAACAATATCCTGCATGCTGTGCTTTTCCAGATACAGCGTTTGCCCTTCCTTCAGAGTTCAAACATTGCACTAGATACTCTCAGAGGAAATGACGAGTACGTTGGTTTTGAGGACATATTGAACGGTAAGTATTCAGAACTCCCTACAGCAGTTTGAAGGATGGCGTTGGGTCATTAAACATTAACAGTTCCTGGAAGCTGAACCCCCATTTTACTCCAGGCAATGTTTCCTTTTTTCTGTAAACAGAAACCACCAGGGGTACACAGGGGACCATTGTGTGTGGACAGCTGGGCTTAGATTGATATTGAGAATCACTCTCCAACGGCTTTTATTTCAACTTGGTGTTTTTTTTATTCGCAGATCCAGCACAAAGTGAAGTCATGGGGGAGCCCCATGTCATGGTGGAATACAAAACGGGTTTGCTGTAAAAAAATTCACGTTACTCTGTGTGATTGTTTGACATAAGACAAATGTGATTCTTTTTGCTATATTCTAACCATACAGGACAAAGTATTTTGCATGGTTAGAATCAAATTATCGTTTAAAGATTTCTAATAAAGCTTTGTTTGCTCTCTTTATTTAGTATTTTGGGTGTCAGACTTTGATTTCATTAACAGTATGCTTTTTTCAGTTAAAATGATCATGGACGTAAGGCTGTGCCACTTGTATAGCATGTTGGTATTGTCTGGTGAAAGATAGTATATAAAGGCATGAGTTGAACTTACCTCTGCAATGTTTAATACCAGTTTGGATGCCTTCAGGATTTCTGCCGAATACTTAATGTTGTTAAATCTAAAGCACATTAAACCTTTGAATACGTTTGTTTCCATGAACACACAAGGAAGACAAAACAGTGAAAATATTTCTTTAAACATTTAATCCAAAACGATGCCATTTCTTTCTAACACTCAGTAAATTAAGTTGCTTTTTATATATTTTGTTAGATTTGGAAAAAAGTGGTGAAGATAAAATGCTGAACACACAACTTGAATGGTGCAAATAAAATTGTCCAGAATATTGTGCAGCACTGAGGAAGTTCGGCAGTTTAAGAGAGCTGAAGATGCATCTTTAGCAGTTAAAACTTATCTAAAAACAAGATATTCACTGCACATACAAACCTAAAGCACTTGAAATCTTGATTAAAATAAATCTCACGTGAATCCTGAAGTTTTGCTCCTATAGGTTTTTTTGTACTGAAATTGCTATAGCACTGTGACCTCTAGTCCAGTTTCTCCTCCTGGAAATAGTCGGCGTCGTTCAGGTAGTCTTCAAACATATCAAATTTCTGAAAGAAGAGGGTAAATAGTCTTACTGCAGCTCCTGTGTTTTCGAAACCTTTTGGGAGTTTTTGAAAAGTAAGAGAACATGAGCACCATCAATGCTTTAAGAGACATTTCCGATATATCTGCAACAGTATATCGGGATCGGGGTTCCTCAAGTCCACTGACAATCCAGCCCGGTTTGTCCAGTTTATCCTTAGCTGATCTTATTATAGATAGATAATTCTTTATTAATCCCGTAGGGAAATTGATGTAAATTATTGCTCTGTACTCTAAACAACTCCTTGGTTATCAGTGATGACCACAAACACATCTGAACAAGGGGAGTTCAAACTCCTGAAACTCTGCAATTTTCTACCTCTGCCTTCTGTTTAAATATGGTTAAATTCATGTTTAAATATGCCTAACTCAACCAAATGTATCTGGGGTAGCTGTATGGTTCAGCTGGAACCGAAAACTGAAGGTTTTCGAACTGTGAAACATTCTACAGTGAAAAACAGGTGGAAAGATGGCCGAGTCTAAGTAAGTAAAAGAGTTTGGGCTGGCGTGACCAGGCCTGGGAAACCACCTTGCAAAACAGACCAGAGCCAACCAGTAAGAGACGCTCTGAATCGTCACCCTGTTCTGTGGCGGCGGTTAACTTCAGGTCACTGCTGTTACAAGTCTCCCGAGCTCCAAGCATCCTAGTTAACTGTCGGTTCCAGCTGTGCCGAGTATCCGAGCAGACACACCTCTTTAATCCAGCCTCGCTCGTGCAGCTGCTGGAAGACCCTGCTGACCGTGGCCTTCACCGGCTCGTCCGCAGGCCTCTCCTGCTCCTGCAGGGCCGTGCAGCACATCCTGGACAGGTGGTACTTGAAGTGCTGCAGGCGATGGTAGACCCGCGTGCGCTGGGCGCAGACACTACCCACGTGCAAGTCCTGCGGGAGGAAGCGGAGAGGTGATGCGGGCACAGGCCTCCGAGACAAGTCCCTTGTGAAGTTTGGGCTGACTTCCTACACAACTCTGACCCTAGCAGCAAGCCGCTCCTCTGCCTTTCGCCGTCTCCAGTTTAACACTTGTACAGCGTCAGTGCGGGAACGTTTTCACCAGCCTTTTCAGGAACAGGTGGCCCTAGACCTCACTGCTTGCGATAGCCAACCTGGACCCTTCCTGCAATTCCCACGGCCTTTCTAGGTCTGGACACATGGCATTTGCGATCACCTGGGTTCCACACGTGCCGGGATGGGCGCTGTCTTCTGCAGCGCCAGAGCAGGCCGCTCTCACACAGCCAGCGGAGCAGGCAGCCGGCAGAGGCATCACGCGGAAATCATGGTTAACACCGCCAGTTTTCTTGGGTCTCTTTTTTCCACGTCTCGCACGGAATAACACTTCTTGCCCTCGGCATGTCTTCCCATCTGTGACTCAAGTCCAGGGCGCACAGCTCCCCCACCACCCCCCGGCCGCAGGAGCGTGGCTCCGCCACAGGGGGGCCTACCTGCGTGTCGCTCGCCATGAAGCTGTCGCTGTGCAGCGTCCTGCTGTCGTAGAGCTGGCCCGACAGCCGCACCGTGAACTTGCTGTGCCGGTGCATCTCGCAGGCCTCGCACGGCCGCCCGCGCAGGCCCGTCAGGAAGATCTGCACCGTGGGGTAGCACTCCACCCGCTCCTGCGTCACAAAGCGCACGGCGCTAGTGAGCGCACCCCTCCCCTCCCCTCCCTCACCGTGTCTGCTGGTCTCATTAAAAGTTCTTGTAAATTGCACACTCTCAAACACCCTGGTCCGCGTTATGATTTGAATGGGGGGAATTACTCCGCGCACAAACTTAGCAGACGGAAAACAAATGTTTAACGGGGTGTTTTGTGAAGCTCGTTCGGCGCCGGTGAGGAGGGCGAGAGACGGCACCTTGTAGCGATCCCTCCAGCGGCTCCTCTGCTTCAAGTTCTCCAGGCGCGGGAGCACGAACCTCTGATCGAAGTAGTACAGCGAGTTCATCATCTCTTTGGCGTACCTCTTCCTGCGGCTGCCGTCTGCTCGGGTTTTCAAACAGGCTTCAATAAGGAACTGGCCTGTCTAACCAATCAATTTCCTTTGTTTAGACTGTAGTAACTGTAGACTGTAGTAACTGCACCCCGGTAGACCAGAGGAGGTCCCCTGCAGCACCAGGACTCCCCTCAGCCACGACAAGGCTGTGGCCCAGCTCGTCCCCCACAGCCCCAGGGATCTGCAGGATTATTGGGGATCAGTGCGAGTGTGGTACCCCAGCAATCGGCAGGTCTCAAGGCTGCCCAGCCCTGGTCTAGGGTCAATCAACACAGAGGGGTTTTGTTTTTGTTCTTTAAACGTATGATCAACATCTACTCCTGCACAGGATTCATACAAAATGAGAAGCCTTACCATAGAGAGACTTGAGGAAAGACTCGTCCAAGGAGTTAATCAACAGCGCTTTGACCACCACCTGGAAGTGGCTGTAGTGGCTGCCTGAAGAGACTGGACAGAGAAAACCCCCAAAATACAAAGGTTACAGCGGAAAGGCGCGAGTTCACACAGCGACCAGCTCGAGCCCCAGCTAAACCCTCAATCAAGCCAATGCTGCAGAGCTGGCTCTCATCAGAATATAAACCCTGCTGTCCAGGTGCTCCTGCGCGATCTCGTGGACAGGCTGACTGCTCCCTCGCCTTCATCTGTAGTAACTCAGTGTCTCAGGAGGAGAGTCTATTGCACTGCTTTCTCGACTAGCTACCAACATGGGAAAGTTACTTCAATGCCATTTAATGAAGTCAGCATACAAGAAAATGAATAAGGCCTAGTGTACATTATAAGCACCACAAAAGTCGTTAAAACGTACCAAACACTGTTGGTTGCAATACTAGTTTTTTTTTTCATTTCTTCAAGCCTCTTGGTATGTATGGCCCATCTATAATGGCCGAGGTCTGCTCTTCCTGAGCACGTGGCTGTCAGGGGGACCCCTCTCTGTCTGTCCCCAGGTCCGTACAGGAGCGACCCCCACCCCCCGTATCCCACAAGCCTCCGCTCTGCCCGGGGCAGCCCATAATCCACCGATTTCTTTTTTGGGGGGGAAATCGGGGTGACTGCTGTCCCGGCTGAGTGGAGGGGGGCGCCCCGACTCACACAGCGAGAGGTGGTGAGAGAGGAATGCTTTCTCGGGGGGCTCCCTGTCCGTCTCTCCGGGGCTCACGTCGTCGGGCTCCTCTGGTTGCTCCTCGTCGGCTACGATGAAGTCTTTGAGGCTGTCGTCGTCCTCCTCGGCGCCGCTGTCCGACTCTCCGGCAAGGGCCGGCTCCTCTTCCTCGCTGGAGTCCTGGCAGCGAAGGGGCACAAACAGAGGTTCAGTATCGAACAGACGCGCGTGACAACACGCTGAGCACCACTTATTGTCCACCTTTATTCCATAAATCAGTTCTAGAGCTGTCTTTCATCTAAAGAGACACTGTCACAGTTACAGCGATCTATGTAGATCTTATAATTACTTGGTAAAGTAACACATTTCCTCAGCCACCATTTCCCCCCAGCTATTTGTAAAAAAAAAAGTAATCCCTAACACAAGCTACTTGTCAACTGGGACTGATTTTTCAAAAGTAACTTTCCCCAATACTGAGCTCCTGCGTGTAGCCGTCAGGCACAACTCAGAGACTCCGATCAGCCCAGGCCGGACGACTTTAGAAGCTGGGAGTGAGCTGAACACGCAAGAGACATGCAAGCTCCACATGCAAGGCCCGAGACCCAGGAGCTGAATTAGCGCCCTTGCGCGGTGTCGGCTGTCATTGAGCAGCGCAATCACCTCCAGGGCGGTGTGCTTGAAGCTTGAGCTCCGGGCTCTCCTCCGCTCCGACAGCTCCCGCAGGGCCGCCTGCCTCTCCCTCCTCCTCTCACTCGCACCCGGCCCGGGCGCAGAGCTGCCCTCCTGCCGCTCGCCGGAAGACTCCGACTCCGACTCGTCCCTGTAGAAGCTGGACCGCTTTTTCGCGACCACTCTCCGGACGGGCCGGGCGTCCTCCTCGCTGTCCGGCGAGCTGCTGTCCTCAAGCACGGCGCTGGGCTGCCTTTTGCGGCGGGCCCTGGCCACCACGCCCTCCTCGTCGCCCTCCTCCCCCCCGGCCGGGACCGGAACCGGGACCGGGACCGCCGCAGAGCCCCCCTGCTCCCCCGTTGCGCTGCTGTCCGAGTCCGTGTCGGCGGCGGTCGGACCCGAGGCGTCGCTGCTCCCGCTGTCGTGCAGGTGCGACAGGAAGCCGAGCCGGGTCCGCCTGCGGTCCACCCGCGACGCCCTGGGGGTTTCACCGGACCGGGTCCTCCGGCGCGTTTCGTAGATTTTGCTGGTGGCCCCGCTCGCCATCGTGCGACGCCTGCCGATAAAAGACACCGGAGCCAACAACGGCTGTCATTACAGATTTTTGTCCTCCAGTCTGGCTCGTTTCAGAAGGCTGGGCTGACCACTCGCGAGCAGCCGTGATGCTCGATACCACGGACAGCGCGTTTCCCATGGATTCGTCCCTGGCCGACGGGGGTCGTGCTTGCAGGGTGAGACCGAGGGGATGGCGGTTGAGGGT